CCAACAGGAATAATCTGGTGTTTTCTCTTTGGCCAGTGAATGTTACTGACATGGTCTTCCATCTTCTTTGGAATAGAAACTCCAGCTGGGTATAACAGAGGCTGTTATGAAACTTCAGGTGTGTGGTCTGTGCTGGTTTTATAATGGGTTTCAAGGTGCACTCATAGTTTTAAGGCTGGATGGTTTGCTGGCTGATTCCTGAAGCCTCTGGCCATGAGTTGTCTGGAGATAATTTACAATAGGTGAGGGAGAGTTAAATGGAGAATATACCAGGGGATGTCACCTGAGGATCAGAGCTGTGTCTTACTTGGAAGAGTGGGAAAGCTGCCTGATTATAAGCTATTTCTGAGCGTGGGTTTCTTTTTAGAAATTCTCTAGTGCCTTATTAGGATAGTGCAGGACTTGGAAAATGCTGGTGTTTGGATTGCATGTGCTGGACACGTCAATGAGCACGTGCTGCAGATGGGAAGATGGGCAGCCTGTGCACAGGAACTTGGGTTTTCCTGCTGCTGTGCTCTGTCTGACACAGTGTGACACACACAGGGCTGTGATGAGCACAGCATGAGGCTGCATGTTCAGCACAGTCCCCCCTCTGCCCTGGGGCTGACTCCGTGGTAGATACTGTCAGAAAAGCTCTGGTTTGGCAGGGCCCTGAATAACCTCTGAACCTTTCTACAGATAGACCAAGTAAAGAGTGCTCCTTCACACATTTGGCAGAATTTTCCCTTTGAAATAGGAAGGAATAAATGGATTTGTTAATAGTGAGGACTTGAATTGTCTGTTCTTCCCTTCTGTGGTACCATAGCTGCAGCATCACTCTACCAGATCTAAAACCCAGGGCAATTCATGGAGTTGAAGCTGCCCGAGCCTGTGGCTGTGCCAAAGCTCTTCTGAGATCTTCTCTAGCCTTTGCATTTGGCTTTTTTACCCAAATAGTTCTATTTTCCACGTGAACTCACTTAGTGGAGTTGGATGTTGTTCTTTCTGTGCCTCAGCTGAAATTGTAAAGATACTGAAGTGAGGCAATCTGGCACATCTCTTCTGTGTTTAAGGTGCTGAGAATGTGTAGAAATCAAAAAAATAGTGTGCATTTTTTAGTTGAAGAGATAAGCAAAAATGTTGGCCTGCTTCAGTCACTTTAGCCTGGCACAGTAAATTCACCCACTTTCTGCTCATTTATTTATGCTGTGTCTGATGTAACAAACATGTAGTTGATAATCTAAGCTTTGATCAAATTATTCTTGTTTTATTCATGTTGCTTGGCAATGTCTCCTTTACTGGTAAGTGGTGGCAGTGACTTCAAAGCCTGTAGAGACTCTGAAATCCAGGAGATTAATGTGCATGTCCAAGCCAACAAAGTTTGTTGCTCCTGTGCAAATCCTGGGCATTCACCTGGCTCCCTGTGTCTGTTCATCTTCTCTCACCCTTTTGTGCCTCAGACATAATTAAGAGTCACCTACAACATAAACAGCTCATTTTGCCATGACTGCCAATGTACTCATGGGAAATAGGAGCTGGAATTTTCAGCTGTTCAGAGTATCATCAATTTGATTCTGATCAGTACACAGGCAAAAGTACTTTAATCCACTGAGTTTGGCACACAGCCTGTCAGGAGAAATGCATCAATCTGTGCTGCTTCTCGGATCCCCTCTGTGTGTGTCCTCCATCAGGTTTGTTTGTCACCATGCTTTTTTCCTTCTCTGACTCTGTACTTTCTGTCCTCTCTGATCCAGTGGCTCTCAGGTTTTCTGGTGCCACTCATAGCACCAGGAAGGACAAGCTGCTGTCTTCCAGCAGGTTTGCTCAGCTCTTCCTTGGGGTTTTGCCCTGCTTGTGTCCTGTTATTAATTTTGCTTTGTTGCAAGCTGACAACAGCCATTATTTTGACAAAGAGGCTGCATAAGAGCTTAATATCATGGTGAGGCTGATAATCACCTCGGCTGTCCCAGTGGAGCTTGTGGGAATGCAATGCAGGTCATCACACCTTGTTTTCTCTTCGCGTTCTGTGATTCCATCATTATCTGGGAGACGTGTTTTAATTTGTTTTGTTTCTTACTGGCAATTACAGCTGTAATAGTCACCTTCTGCAAGCTTTTGTTAGGCCTTGCTGGCAAGTCAGCATTGTTAAGATATCCACAATGCCACAGGTTTGGATTTGGAGCTTGCATGGAGCTTAGGCAGCTCTCAGGGATGTGAGCAAAGTGTGATCTCTCCAGATTAGTGAAGGCAGTGTGTTTGTGTCATTGTCCTTGGGACTGATGGAGCTGTTTAATGCTGTCACACATGGGGACATCATCACGAGATGCTTTGGCTGCCCTTAGCATCACTCAGCTCATCAGTGGGACTAAGCTGGTGAAGCAGAGTGCCTTTTTTCAGCTTTCTTTGCTTTTAGAGGAAGGAAAAGGAGCATTTCAGAGGGAGGATTGGGAGAGGGGAATGCCACGCCGTCACGCCACTGCTGCTCGGTGCCAGCCTGGTGTTCCCTCCTGCTGGGAAATCCTGAGAGGTTTTACAAATACTGGGGAATAGCAGTCCAAGAGCTCTTGTTTAAGTATAAAAAATCTGGGATAAGGAAAGGAAAGAAAGATCACAGGATTACCTATGTAGTCAAATGTAATTTTTAGTAACATTTCTAGAGTTTTGAAAATTTCCGTGCCCCCTGGTGGGACTTAGTGTAAAAAGCTGTAAGTTCTTGTAAGTTCTGTAAAGTTTAGTTTACCATAACACTTCTTTTTTTTTTTTTTTTTTAGATTGTAAAAGCTTCTGCATTTTTGATTTTTTAATTCTGGTACCAATTCCCTTTTAAAAGTGATACTAGACCCAAATGGCCTCATGACTCTTTCCAGACAATTCAGCATCATTTCCAGATAATTCATTCTTCAGAGAATTGAAGAATATTTTGATTTATTCCTGAAACTTTGAGAAACACTGGAATTAACCATACTTTTATTACCTGCTGATGTGCATGCTCACTGTTCCACTTCTTGCTGCATTCCTGGAGTTCTGTCCACTGCAGTGGGACACTGTCATCAGTCCAGCCTTGGCATTTGCAGTGAGTCTGTGCTTGTTGCTTCAGGACACTGAGACTCACTGTCGCATCTCTAATCAGCAGCTTCCAGCTGACACAGATTCAGTTTTTGTGGAACAGGCACTGCCTTTAGCAAGGAATGGGAATTTCCCATGCTGTTTCTCTCTGAAGATTTTTAAGCTGCTGATACAGCTCCTGTGTCCCCCACTGCAGATCACCTCCCTGTCCTGGTGTGCAGTGCCACGATGCAATGATCCAACTCAAGATATTCTATTTTTCTATGATTCTGTGATGCCCAGACTTCTGTTCAAGGCTGCAGAATACACTCAGGAGGTGCAGTTGGTTAGAGCATGGCCATGGTGCTCTGAACTGAGCTGATGTTCTGTAGCTCCTGGTGCATGACTCTCCTGATGGGGAACACAAGGGAACAGGGAGTGCTGTCTGTGGTTGGGACCCTGTGACCAGTGGAGGCTGGCACTGTCTGGAGGTGCTGGCTCTGCTTGGAGGTGCTGGCTGTGGCTGGACATTCTGCCTCTGGCTGGAGGCTGGCTCCTGGTTGGAGGTGCAGGGTCACCAGTGCATGGCCACTGCCTGCAAAGCCCAGATCTCTGACCTGCAGCTCAGTTTGAAGCCTGATGGGAGCTGGAAAGGAAGACACATGGTTTAGGATCTAGCTGTGGTGACAGCCGAAGACACCACAGGTACAGGGTCCTCAGCCTGCTTTGGGATGGACTTGACAGGCTCTGGGGCAGTGTGATTTATGTGGAGCAAGCTCTTGCATTGTTACAGGACAGCAGCTGAACCTCCAGCCTGGGCAGAGCCTGCAGAACCAGTGTGGGTTTGTATGAGCCGCCTTGTGTCAGCCAAAGGTTTTGTCTGCTCTGGCGTGGTGGGTTTGCACTGTCAGCACCCACATCCTTTCTGATCCTCTCTGAATAGCCCTAAGGCAGAGGCACTGGGTGTAAGCCCTGCCTTTGGGTCTGCCCGGGCCACAGATTTGTGTGTGGATTTCCTGTGAGCATTAACTGATCCAAAACAAACCCTCAGCCCTGGATGGTTACATCTGGGAGTCTCCCATCCCCATAACTCTTGATCCCTTGATTAATTCTCAAGTGCTCTCAGAGTTCCTATGACCCTGAGAGGGACTGATTTTAGGGTACCTGCCCAGCAGGGATTTGGGGTGAGCATTACAAACTGGCAGTGAGCTCTGACTCTTGCTGGTGCTTCCTGTGAAAGGCTTGGCTGTGTCCAGGGTTGTTCTGCAGCATGTTCTGCAGTAGCTGTGGTGCTCATTGCCTTCACTGTGCTGTTATCAGGCTGGGAGAACTTAATGAGCACTTGGACTTTTTTCTGCTGTTGTTTAATGAGCGTGTGATGAGTCCTGTCTGACAGACCGCTGTGGCTGCTGCACACTGAAGGCTCACTGACTCCAGACAGCCCCTGCTCCTTTCTACACAGAGCATCACTTCCATCTGAAAAGGTCTTAGAGAGAGATTGAAGGGCTGTGCACTGAAAAAATAATGAGGTTTTTTTGTCATCCTGTAGGAAACTGGCATAGCCAAGGGTGTTTTGCACTGATAGTGCCTGCAGTGCTCTCTGGTGCTCACTGTGTTTCTGTGCTCAGGGTGTTTCACACCAGGCTTTTTACCACAGTTTTCAGGGATCTGGGAGAACTCCCTGTGTGGTGCTTTCCAAATCCAGTAGGTTTTCCTTATGTGAGATGGGTAGTTTATTTCCCCTTGAGCCAACACTGATGCCTGCAGAGAGTAGCATTCTGGGAATACTTAGCTGCTGTTTCCATGCAACAACCAATTTTTCTTCACTGGCATGCATTCACTGCGGGTTTTCTGATGGAAAGCATGTGGATATAACTTTTTATTTACATATTTCTCATTAAAAGCTAAATTTCATTACTGTCTAACTCTCTTTTTTTCTGGTTTTGTTTTTTGTTTTTTGTTTTTTTTTTTAACAGATCAACTGTGTGACTTTCCCCCACCCTGACGTAATGCCAGAGCAGCAGTTGCTGAAACCTTCAGAGTGGAGCTACTGTGATTATTTCTGGGTAAGTAGGCAGCCAGCCACATGCCACATGCAGCTCCAGAGCTTCCAAGAATGTGGAATAAACAGCTTGATTTGTGCTACAAGGTAAGGGAGAATTTGGGCTGACATACAATGTGTTCAGGGAGTACCAGGGAGACTGGGATACCAGTGGAGATCTCCTGGAAACATCTGACCAGTCTGAGATGTGGCTGATCATCAGAGGAGTGTCCAGATAGGCAAGGACAGTTCTCAGGAGATGGATTTGCACAGGAAATAGGGAGCATGTAGGACAAGCCACACATCTCAAAATACCACAGGTAAAAGGGCAGTGCAGCGGGAAGGGAATAGAATCACAGAATCCCGGATGGTTTGGGTTGGAAGGGATCTTCCCTGACCCATCCCTGCCATGGCAGGGACACCTTCCCCTGTCCCAGGCTGCTCCAAGCCCTGTCCAGCCTGGCCTTGGGCACTTCCAGGGATCCAGGAGCAGCCACAGCTGCTCTGGGCACCTGTGCCAGCCCTCCCCACCCTCCCAGAGAACAATTCCTTCCCAATATCCCAACCATCCCTGTCCTCTGGCAGTGGGAAACCATTCCTTGTGTCCTGTCCCTCCATCCCTTGTCCCAAATCCCTCTGCAGCTCTCCTGGAGTGCCTTTAGGCCCTGGACGAGGCTCTGAGGTCTCTCCAGAGCCTTCTCTTCTCCAGGCTAGACAGCCCCAACTTTCTAAGCCTACCTCTAGAGCAGATGTGTTCCAGCTTAGTGGCCTCTGGACTCGCTCCAGAGATGCACAGGTCCAAAGGATAAGCAGGTGGCTGGCAGGGAATGATTTCAGTGTTTCCCAGAACACGAGACCCAGGGCTACACAAGGAAGCAGGGGCTGCCCCTTCTAAAACAAACAGATAGTTAAAAACTTTCTAAAATTGTTCAGCTCCCCCCATAAGATAATCCAGAAGTCAGATAATAAAAGGGTTATTTGTAGGGTGAGGTTTGTGAGGGACAGGCCCATTCGTAGCTTATGTTGAGCCAGCAGCATGCAAAGTCTTCAGTGGCTGGTTCTGTGTGTGCCCCCTTGTGCTCAGGTCTGTTTTCAGGTTCCTGAATCACATTAAAATGATGCAGTAGTCCTTGGAGTGTGGAGCTGATAGAAAATGGTCTTCCAGTGGGAAACTTTTCTTCCACCAGATTTTTCTAGGCAGTGAGAGGAAAACCACAATGGAATCAACAAATACTACAAAAGGAATCAACAGTGAAGCTTTTAGGAATCTCATGTGTGTTTTCAGTTACAAGTGTTTCCCTTTTTAAAAATAAGTGTTGGGACGTCCAGCAGCATCTCCCCTTGTGCTTGCTCAGTGCTGATTACAGAGCATTGCTGGCTTACACTGACAATGGGCATGTTATCACAAAATTTTTTCTGTTTCTTCCAGTCTTCTGATCCCAGTGGACCCTAAATCATTAATGGTGTACAGACTGATTTTTTTGCACGTGTCTTAATAATGTTCCTGCTTTGCTTGGTCCTCCCTATTCAAGCTCAGCCAATGCTTGGTTCCGTGGGTTGGTCACATCTCAATTTCAGTGAAATTCTAGTTAAAGCTCCTTACTTGAAGACTTTTATCCTCCCATAACTCTGCTGGCAGGAATTTCCTCTTTGGCCTTGTCATGGTCTGCCCACAGCCTGCTCTCCTTCCATCATCTGCACTTCTCCCACTGTCTCATCCTGCTGCTGCCTGGCAGGGCGTCCTGCCAGTCTCCTGCTTTGATTAATCTGGCATTTTCCTCTGGTTAGTTGTGCAGCACGCGGGGGATCAGAGCAAACTCAGAGCGCTGAGGGAAATGTTCTCTGAGAATTTGTTTGTTGGAAGAGGGTAGGAGATGAAGTAGGGAAGCAGAGAGAAAAGAGGCAGCAGAGAGAAAACTGTGTTGGTTCTTGCAGCAGCACTGAAGCCAGTGGAGCAAGGGGCTGTGGAAGAAGCAGACAATGAGGAATGGGGTGTGTGGTGGAAATTGTGGGACAGGTTGCTGGTTTGCCTTGTTTTACAGCACATCCCTGCAGACTAGCTCTGCTCTCCTTAGTACAAACCACAGCTGAACTTGGCAGTCTGTTAAAGGTCTGTCAGGGCTGCGTTCCCCCTGGAAGGAGCAGCACTGTCCTCCCCTCTGCCCCAGGAGAGTTCCCTTTGCTGGCTCCAGGATTCTGCTTTTGGCAGGCTGAGCCCTTGGGGCTGACACCCAGCTGTGAAATGAGAGCAGGGCTGTTGCTTTTGGCCCCACATCCTTTGCTGGCTAAAGATAATTGTGAAACTTCTTTTTTTAAATACAAAGAAAGGAGCAAGAGGAGCAGGAGAGTGTTGGGCTATTTCTTTGAGAGGTTCTGAGGTGCTGTGGCCATCAGCTGCTCTCAGGGGAGGCTTCCTCAGGCACCACTGCTGGGCAGCTGCTGCTGGAGCCACATCTCTGTGGGTTTGGCCTCCAAAGCTTTCTGTTGAACTTCCTTTTATTTCTTTCAGGCAGATAAGAAGGACTCACAAGGGAACAATACAGTGTCGGGATTTGAAATTCTTCTTCAAAAGCAACTTAAAGGGAAACAAATGCAGAAAGAAATGGCAGAGTTTGTTCGAGAAAGGTAATTAGCACTTGGTTATCAAATTAAATATTTATTGCAATTGTTTTTTTCCCAATTTAGATATTCCTTAAATATGTGAAGGCTTAAACTGCATAAAAGGTATGCTGCAAATTCTTAATGAACATTTAATATCTCTTTAATGTTCATAAACACTTTCCAGCCTTCTCTGGCTCTCACTTGTGTCTCATGCTCTGAGTTGTATTGCACAAAGGCTGTTTAGAGGGAACCAAGGAGGTTTTAAGCTGCAGATTCAAGGAGAAAGCATAAACAGGAGAGAAGGGGAGTGGAGGTGATACTTAGAAGGGAAGTATTTTGTCTGAAATTTTTGTCTGGGAACTACAGAAGCAATTTGTTCATATGGAGCATAGGCACAAATTCCTAGAGGAAGATGTAAAAAGACATCACTTTGGACTTGAGCTTGGTTATGGAACCACAGCATGGTTTGGGATGGAAGGGACATTAAAGATCATCTCATTCCAGCCCCTTGCCATCTATGTGTCTAGGGACACCTTCCTCTGTCCCAGGCTGCTCCCAGCCCCATCCAGACCAGCCTTGGGCACTGCCAGGGATCCAGGGGCAGCCACAGCTGCTCTGGCACCCTGTGCCAGGGCCTGCCCACCCTCCCAGGGAAGAATTTCTTCCCATTATCCTGTCTAACTCTGCCCTCTGGCAGTGGGAAGCCAATCCCTGTGTCCTGTCCCTCCATCCCATGTCCCAAGTCCCTTTCCAGCTCTCCTGGAGCCCCTTTAGGCCCTGGAAGGGCTTTGAGATCTCCCTGGATCCTTCTGTTCTCAGGGTGCAGTTCAATTGGGCAGAACATGCAGATAGTTGCTTCATTTATAGTTTGTTTTGTTTCTCCCTCTCACCTTTTCTGTTTATGCTGGGGATGTAGCAGCAGTGGGAGAATGCAAAGTGCCACAGGCAATAATGGTGATCAGATACAGGGCCCAGCATTCATATGAGGTTTCTGTAACCTTTGACATAAGATAGTCCAAGAGACAATTAATGTGACCAGAGGTAGAAGAAAGGACCACCTGGCACATTAAAAATACAATTGAGAAACAGGTCTGCTGTTCTCATGATGGGAAGGCAAGCAGAATTATGATAGCCAGGGAGAAGAGGGGGAAGCTGCTTCAAAGGAAGCAATATATAATGAAATTTGACAGAAATAAAAGCAGGACGCATTCAAGAGGAAGGGAAAGTTGGTGTGAAATAAGAGAGAGCAAGGAGAGCAGCTCTGACACTGTGGGGAGGTGTGTCTGTCCTCAGCAGAAGAAGAAGCTGGCATGCTGGAAAGAAAAGATCCACTGTGTGCTAGAAACAAAAAAAGGTTGGGAATTGAGTGTGAAGAGGGCCTGGATGGGAGTTCCAGGAAGATTAATACGTTTTTCATCTGTTTGTTACAAAGGAACAGGATTGTTCTGTGTGGAAAAGGAGGAGGATGGTGTTGAGCAGGAGGAATTATTCATGGGAACAGCTCAGGCCATCAGGGGAACCTCTGTGTTCCAGCTGAGAGGGCTGAAATACTGATCACATTTTCATGATGACCATCAGGTGCCTTGGGGAACACAAGACCACATTTAACTGGGAATTTTCATGTCCGGTAAAATGCTCTTTGTGCAATCAGCCTGCTGGAGGTGAGATTCAGGCAGGTGTTAAAAACAGCCCTTCAATAGGAAGTTGGTATAAGACATGATAACCAGATTTCTTCATCAAATATCCAACAAGAGGGAAGCTAACTGAAATTTGGTTTATCAAGTACATGATTTTACAGGAGCTTCTTGTATGTTGCTCAGACTGAGCAATTGAATGTTCATTCAGTTCTTGTTGACAGAGGTAGGGTTATAAAAGCCACAGACTTTGACTTTTAGGAAGACAGACCTCAAGAAAAGGAGGAAATTAATTAATAAATACACTGAACTGAAAAATCCAGTGTTGGTGGCATGAAGGAATTACTTTCAATCAAGTGGAAGTAAGGTCCAGCATTTGCATTCAGGGATTCCAAAACAGCCAAAAAAATCTGCAGGCTGCCCTGTAAAGCACCAGGTATTAGAAGCAGTGTTTCCATTAGCAAAGGAACAGCATCTTACACACTTTTTAATTAAGCAGTGCTATGTTTAGAAAATGTAAGTTAAATAGCAGGTTATTTCTGCCATGTTGAGCAGATCCAGGTGTGCACTTTTCACTGTTTGTCTGCAGCCATTTGTGGAAGACTTCTGCAGCCCCTGCACTACAGGAAAAGTAATTATGCTTCTGTTGTCTGATAATTTCATTGTTCCCTCCTAATCTGGAGGAACAGTGTAAAAAGACTCACAGTCACAGTCTTCGTCAGTGGCAGCTGTGGAGCTGTCTGTCAGATATCCTCTGCCACCTTTTCTCCCTGTTCCCACTGTTGTCTTAACCTATTTAGCTTCTTCTTGTGTGCCAGTCACATCAGATCATCTCTGCCTCCTTTTACAGCTCTCTGGTTTTTCTTCATCCTCCATAATATGTCATGACTGAAATTATTTGAGTGTGGGCTCACAAAGTACATTTTTTCAAAATAAAGAAAAATGTAAAAGGGAACAGGAAATAAACATCCAAAAATCAACTAGAACTAGTAAAGTCAGGACAGTCAAAATGCACTTAAAATCTGTAATGCTTCTGACTATATAGGGAGTGAAATTCTGAAAGTTTTCAAACAAATGAGTGGAAACAAGAACTTGTAGGTTTTTTTGTTAGGAAGGTGGAATTACTGCCAAACAGCCACGTGGATGTCTGAAAATGGACTCAAGAGTTCTGGCATGTTTGTGTTTCACAGTCACCACAATCCAGAGTTTGCAGTGTGTTTGTATCAGGTAGGGTCAAGAGGCAGATTTTTCTTCCCTTCCTTGAGGTTTATCTTGGTTTTTAGCCCCTTTTGGCTACAGGTGGTGACAGGAAACCAGGTTGAGGTAGAATAATTTATTTCTTACATTTGGGGTTTGTCACTATAGACATTTTACCTTTCTATTTTTATCTTTAATAGATGATCCTCCTTACCAGGCAGTCTGCCCTTTTAGTAGTGCCATCCATTTGCAGTACATGTAACACTTCAAATGCCTGAAAAAATCTTGGAGCCTAGGTCAGAGCTGGAACCAGTGAGGAGCTCTTCCATCAAAGCCAGTGGCTTTGCTTTCCTGGTGCCACATGTAGGGCAGGCACTGATGGCACCAGGCATAGGGTGTCTTGTGTGTGCTTGTGAAATCATGAGAATCACAGAGTGGTTTGGGTTGGAAAGGACCTTAAAGCTCATCCAGTTTCACCCTTCCCAGTGCCATGGGCAGGGACTCTTTCCACTAGGCCAGACTGATCCAAGCCCCAGTGTCCAGCCTGACCTTAGGCACTTCCAGGGATCCAGGGTTAGCCACAGCTGCTCTGGGCACCCTGTGCCAGGGCCTGCCCACCCTCACAGGGAAGAGTTTCTTCCTAATATCTAATCTAAACCTACTCTCTTCCCTCCTGAAGACTTCAGGCTTGCTTCTGTCCTGCTACATTCAATAATTCCTCAGCTTCAGCAGTAGCAGAGAAGAACTTGACAGGATTTTAAATTCAGTATTTTCACAGCAGACCTTTTGATGGAAGATGGTCAGCTACTCCTCTGTTCATGAGACAAAGGACTGAGACACAGGTTCTGTGAGGGTCTGCATGGGCAGCTCAGAACAGTCAGCAGACTGTTGCACCTTTGAACATCCAGCATCCACAGAAAATCACTCAAAGGCATCCTAAAGACAAATTTCAGCAGGATGAAGGCTGTAGACTAGAACTTTGTCTGAGAATTGAGCCCAAAGCAGTGAGCCTTGGCTCTGGGGAGAGACATTTGCACCTTTATTACTTTTGACCTGTTCTGTCTTTCCAGTCCATAGAAATTGTCACTTCTCAGACAAGATTAGTCTCATCCTGAAGAAGGTCTTTAAAGTACATTAGATGAAATGTGCCTGGATAAGGCCCTTTTCACAGTGAGCTCCTAACACAGCTGAGCCTTTGATGCCTGTGTTGGTCTTGTTAGAGCAGGCGTGGGGAGCTGGCTGGTTTTGTCCTCATGGGAGGGGGAAGAAGAGGACCCCCAGCTCCTGGGTAAGGTCTGCAATATTGTGTCACACCAAGCTGGGTGTCATTTTGGGTCTCAGCCAGCTTCATCCCAGTCAGTTGCTGGAAGGGACATCCCAATCAATGGCTTTGCTGTGGAGCTGTCAGCTGTGGCACCCAGATCTGCTCCCTCCCCTGAACTCCTGTGAGCGTGACGACAGCGTGGCATTTCCCCTCCCACACCATCCACCAGGATATTTTCAGCAGCCCAGAGCATCAGATCCCTCTCAGCTAGCTCAGGGGACTCCTTTTAGCTCAAAAGTGCACTTGCTCAACTAGCTCCTGCAAATTTGCATGCCAGAAATACCCCACCTTCTGAGTCTTTGTGGACAGACACTTCAGAGCAGGTTTTGCACAGAATCAGGATGTTTTTTTCCTGGGGGCCACACAGCTCTCTCAGAAATGTTCTGTTGAGCGAGCTGACAACTGTTTGCTGTGCACCTTGCAGTTGTTTCAGTGGCAGCAGAACTCAGGGAAGGTGGTTTCAGGCATGATGCCCATCATCTCTGCACCAGCAGTTGCTCATTCCTCCCTGCTGGGCTGTCAGCACATACCCTTGTCCCCTCGCTCCACAGCTGCATTCCTTCTCCTCCCTGCAGTCATTCCCACAGCAGTTGTGTGCCAACACCTCCCCTCCTCTGTGCCCTCACCTCTGCAGAGCTCAGCTCCCATTCCTGGTGCCTTCCAGTGAGTGAAGACAAGGACAATGAGTGGGCTGCATGAGAGGAACGGGATGCACCAGCCTCGTGCTGCTGACAGAAGCTCTCTGCCATGCTTTGCCACCCCTAACAGAGAGCAGGAAGTGTTTGGTGTCCCTAAGAAAGGTGCACTCCAACCCCTCAAATCTCATTTGGATTTTTCCTGGGTCGCTGCATTCCTTCATTTTTGCCTCAAGGATGTGCAGCCTCACATTTCACAGCAGACTTAACCACGTGCTTCTGGTTTTGCAGACAGCCCGTGTTGCACAGCAGAAACACTCTGTCCTTGTTATTTGCTCTCCAGAACTGTAGCTTCTTCAGCTAATTTTGTCTCACATGCCGTCCTGCATATAGCCCTGCTCTTGCCTCTGCATTTTTAGCATATGGGGGGAGAAGACGGCTCATCAAACTGGTGCTGCCAAGCCCTGAGACTGAAAGGAAAATTCCTGTGGCAAAATCTGTTAAAATGCAGAGAATTTTCTTCAAATTACGTGTGTGGGTTTCTGCCTTAAAGCTTACTTACTGCTGTCTTTTTATTTTCTCTTTGTGTGTATGTGAGTGTAGGATAAAGATTGAGGAGGAATATGCTAAGAACCTGTCCAAACTGTCTCAGAATTCCTTGGCTGCTCAGGAAGAAGGGTAAGTGTGTCTCTGTGACTTTCACAGAAGACGAATTTTAATATAAAAGACATTTCTCCCACGCAGGTACATGTAATTTTCTCCAGCTCTTTCCCATAGAGAAGAGGTTTATTTAGATTAGCACCCTGGGCATGTTGGGGAAGATGCAACTTCAGAGTTGTTTGGGTTTGTTTTTTTGAAGTTGTCAATGAGAAGTTTTTAGGAATATGTGTCTAAAATGTTGCCTTTCCAATCAGGTTTATATGCTGTCCTTGTTGTAGCCAGGACTAGTTCCTTCCAGGATTAGCATGTATGTGTACTAAATTACTTTGAAAATGAAAGAATATATGGAATATATAAATATATACTACTGAGAGTAGATGTGTAAGATCAATGCTGGTACAATCAGAGCAGCACAGACAAGAGGGAGGATAAATAAGTCTTCTCATCAGGGTTCTGGCCCTTCAAGAAAAGCAGCAGACTGCTTCTTATTTCCAACATTTTCACACTTGGAAGTTGTTAAGAAGGCATTAGGCAGTGCAATTCAGACTGAATTACAGTTCTCCAGTAATAATGCAAAGACACCACTCCTGAAGGATCAGAACTTGGTAGCTTTGTGTGTTTCACCCTGGCACTGAAAGCCAAAGTTGGAAATGACTGTCCTCACCACAACTTTGACACAGTGTGTTTCTGCCAGCACTGGAGCTGCATGAGGTGTTCTGCTCAGCTTCCAGGAGGCAGGGACAGAAATTGCAAGAGGATAACTGGGCTGTAACTGCCCTGAGCACCTACACTGGCAATGGTTTCTGTCCTCCTTTCTCCTTAGGGGTGGATGCTCACCTGATCCTAGCACAGCTAAACCCACTTTCTTCCACATCTCCCTTCCACTTTCTCCTACCCACAGTGGGAGAGGGAGGGAATGACTGAAAAAATAAAGGGGAAGGAAACTAGGGCAGAGGAGGTGAAAAGGGAGGGAATGAGCCCTCAAGCCTAACAAACATTGAAATAGGGAACTGGAAGGGACCTGGTGCAGGGTGTGTGGAGCTGAAGGCACTGTGCTCTTCCTGGATCAGATTCCAGGGTTAGTGTCAGTGAGAACTGGCCAGTGGAGAGGACCTCAGGGAAGGAGAAATATTTGGAACACTTCTGTAGGTGTATCTAAATTGTTTAGCTGATGAACACTGTGTTTGAGGACTCTAGTCCTTGCAGCAGCACAAGAGGGTGACAGATGATTAGTTTGAGATTACAGATGACATGTAATTTTTCAGGCTATCAGGAACAGTCAAATCTCATTATCCTTGAAAAGGGAAGAGATAGAAGGAGCCAGGAATTGTAGATTGCTCTGCTTTATTAAACCTTTGCAAAGAGGTAGAATAAAACATCAGACTTTCACTTGGGGAAAACGAAGGTGATGAGCAATTGTTGTGTATGCATAGAGAACAATGCCAAGTCAACCTAAACTCCTTCAGTGATGGAGTAAGAGAGTAGGTCAAGCATCACAGCTCTTAATTTAGTATTGCTTTTTGTGATGGGAGATTCTCGTAGGCAGACAAGAGAAATGGTGGCCTAAATACAAGTGCAAAAAACTAGGTAGGAAAAAAACCCACTGCTTACAGAAACTAAGCTGCAGAAAGTAGCTGTGGAATGAGATCCCAAAGGGTTTGTCCTAAGTTCTGGGGGTTTTAAAATGTTGTAATGAACAACCTAGGATCGAAGAAATTATGGATTTACTGTAATCAGAGATATGACAGAGCTAGGAGGGTTGGTATGTGTAATTTGAAGAAAAGGTTGCAATTCAGAATTCTTGTGTTAAAATGGAGAAATCAACTGGGAAAAAAAAAAGATGCATTTTAATGAGGACAAAGCAGCGGGTTTTATACTTTCAAAGGATGTGAAAGATACAGTTACATAACAGTTTGTGGGAGAAGGATCTGGCTATAGTGAATCACAAGCTTATTCATCAACAACTTCATGCTGTTATCTAAAAAGGCAATCATATTGAAACACATAGAAAAAAGAGTGTCTGATACAAAATAAACTGTTACCAGTTTAGCCACTGGAGTTTACTGTACTGGGGGCAGTGTAGTTTTGGTTATGATACTTCAAGAGGAGTCTAGGTTGTCATAGAGGGTCTGGAGGAGTGTGCCTCAGCTGCCACTATCTTGGAAATAATCTGAAAGAAGCAATCTGAAAGAAGCAATCTGAAAGAAAAAGGCAATGGAGAAATTGTCAAGTGCTGAAAAGCTTCTCCAAGACTTTTCACCTGAAGTGTAAGTCTTTTCTCTGAAGTAGGGTGCAAAGTAGAAGAGGCAGTGGCAAAACTGCATTGCTGGATACTTTGTTATGGTAGGGGTAAGATACTGAAGGATCTTCCTTGTGGAGGCTCTGTAAGTGGAGGTCATCATGAATTGTGTTTTCAAACTCAATTCAAAGATCTGCTGCAAACTGTGCCAACAGAATGCTGCCTTGGTCACAAAGGTTGGTTGTTTTCTCAGATTTCTGTTACCCTTTTCCATGGTTTTGCTGATCAGGACATGGTACAAAGTGTTGTGCCAGATTTGTCTGACAGATCCCACGAGGATGGGTGGGGGAGAGATTGTTCATTGTACTTCTCTTCCTTCAGCACACTGGGAGAAGCTTGGGCTCAGCTCAAGAAGAGTTTAGCTGATGAAGCAGAGGTTCATCTCAAATTTTCTTCCAAGGTAAATGGTTCTTTCTTTTCCAAAGATTTTTGCCCTGAATTTCTGTGTCTCTCCCTTCAGTGCATGTTACTGGGGGAAATACACATGCATGTGGTACAAATTTAGAAGAATTAATAAGTTGGTGAACAAACATACTGAGACTCTCTCCAGATCTTCCTCCCAAAATCAGTTTATTTAGTCTACCCGATGAGTAAATTGAAACACATCTAGCCTTTATTTTTCATAAAAAAGAAGTAAAACTGATTCTAGATGTTGTTCAGCTGGGCTTTGTGTTCCAGCCAGTAAATTTAACTAGTGCTTGTACACTTTACTTCTGCAAAGGAAGAAATGAAAGGTAGTATTTGGCTTCTCAGCAAGAATCTACTCTACCTGTCTGGAAGGAAGAGAACCAGAACTATTTTTTTTTTGTATCATTAGCCTTTCTCAAAAGTGTGCTGGGAACATCATGTTATTTTTGGGTTTTATCTCTAGTGATGCCCAAGGAGATTTCTTTTACAAATTATGGTATTTATCTGGGTTTTTTCCACCACATGTGACATGCTCTTGAATCCTGTTACATTCTGTTAACCTCTGTGGGTGTTCAAGTTCAATACAGTGGCAGATAGCACAACAGCCATGTTCTGGAGGAAAATTATAGCTCTGCACCATTTGTAAGTAATTCAGCAGAGGTTACTCAGGCAACCAGCTGCTGCCTTGGTAACCCACTGCTCTGCCTTAAACTTCGACATCAGGGCTGTAATTAGTGAAATACTTTTTGCTCCCCTTTGTCCTCCTGTATTGTTTTCCAAAAGGAAAAAATGCAGCCTGGAGTGATGTGTGTGTGTAGGCAGGCCAGGTAGAGAGGGGCTTTTCCATTGTTGTAGTTCTCCTTAAACACTGCACAGAAACTCTTGTAGCATCCTCTAAACTGTTCCCACTGTTTGTGTGCAGAAAACAGGTGGATGTGGCACTGCAGGGGCAGGGTTTAGTGGTGGACCTGGCAGCCCTGGGTTAACGATGGCACTTGATGATCTTGGAGGTTTTTTCCAGCTTAACAATTGTGTGGTTGTGTGAAGAGTGAGGAGCTCCTCATTACTGCCATTTCTTCCTTTTTTTTCATTACCAGCTTCAGAGTGAGGTGGAGAAACCCCTGCTCAACTTCAGAGAGAACTTCAAGAAGGACATGAAGAAGTGTGACCATCACATCGCAGACTTGCGGAAGCACCTGGCCAGCCGCTACACAGCTGTTGAAAAGGTGGGAGCAGGGAACAGCCTGGAGGCTTTCTGAGATGCTGCTGGTTTGAGCAGAAGAGCAGCTGCCCCATGAAGAGTTTCTGTTCTGTCCTAAAGGACCACAGCTGTTCCTGCTAAGGGCTTTCACTGTTAGCTGTGCTCTGCCCAGCCCCAGGCATTAGTTCAGTCTTTAGCTGAAGTCTGGGAAGTGAGGGGCAAACATCTTCACTGCTGAGGTGGCTTTTTGGTTCATCCTCCCCTTCCCATATTGTCATCAAAATTTCGAACACCTTGCAGCAGGGTCAGGTCAAAGGCTCACCTGGCTCTGTGGCCAAGAGCAGATGGCTGTGGAGGGCAGCTGGACCCTGGTCTGCCAAATCACAAACCCTTCACAAGAAGCATCCTCACTGAAAAAATCCAAACAGCAGCAGCACCCAGTAATGGGCTGATGAAACACAAGGCAGGAGGTAGCTGAGGTTGTGGTGCAGGGAGTTACACCCACAAAATGTGATCCCCCAGCAGCTGGCAGAAATGGGGATGCTTGAGCCTCAGCTGCTGAACTGTATCCTCATGAGATTTGCTTTTGGATGCAAACTGTGAAGGAAAATAGCATTCCCAGTCATCCCCAAAGCTGTTTGTGCTTTCATTAAAGCTCAGCAGGAGTTCCCTGGGGGACAGAACTGTTGCAGGATACACAAGGTCGTTAGGCTGAGTGTAGGCAAGGGAGGCATTTTTCCACAAAGCACAAAGTTCCTCACGCTCCTAGCTGCAAAGCAACTCAGTAGCAATATTGGGAAGGTGAATTGGGAATAACCTTGGAAGAAGGAATGAGTACAGGAAGAGCTGTGGCTGAAGTGCCTGTGGAACATTCGGCCTCTCATGGATTGCTCTCCTGCAGCTCCCTCTCCAGACCTGCAGGACCCAGCCAGGGCCTCAGAACTGCACATGGAAAAAAAATCCTGGAATGCTTCAACAGTGCTGTAACATTTGGGCTGCTGTGACTGTAGAAAACTGCAAGGTGCTAAGAAAATACAGTCATGGCAGTTTAGTTTGGAACACTAGTACAGTATAAAGAACAAAAGTGGCAGGTTTTATAACAAATTGATGCACAACAAGTGATTTTTATGTATTTATCAGCCTTCATGTAACAATGTTTATTTGTTAAGGTACTTTACTAATTTAGCTGTATAATATATATTTGTACTGATAAAACAGGTTTTAACAGCTTGAAGAACTTCTGTGTAAAGTAGTTCAAGTCATCAGTTGTAACCAGACCTCAGGTTCTTGATTTCTGCTGTTGGCATGAACCTGAATAAGTTTTTCTGAATTAAGTTCCTGTTGTTAGTTTGTGATAGGTGTACATTGAACATACTTAAAGACAAATTTTGTAAGATCCTTGAAATTACTTCAACGATTCAGATTCTAAGAAGAGTGAATGGAAGAGGTGTCTTGGTAATGATTCTGTTTAAGGTATTTGAAAGAGGCTGCAGCTCTTTTTTCTTCCAGAGATAATGAGAAAGCTGTTAAGGAGCAGTGATGCCATTAGTCCTTTGCCTTTTTAACTCTGTGAAGAGTTCAGATGCATTTGTGATTTGGTGGTGGTGACTCCTCTGTGATCATAAGACACTTTTGTGAACTGCACATGATGTTGTAAGAACCTGAATCCCTGTTAGGACCCAGTTTCATGCAAAGCTGCTGACTTCTTGCTGAGAAATGCTTGTGTGAAGGAGTCCTGGATGGCTGAAAGCAGCTGCCAGTTCTTTTTCTCTGTAACTAACGAATCTTTTTTAATTACTCCAAGGCCCGGAAAGCCTTGACAGAGAGGCAGAAGGATCTGGAAATGAAAACACAGCAGCTAGAGGTGAAACTCAGCAACAAGACAGAAGAGGAAATCAAGAAGGCCAGACGGAAGTCCACCCAGGCAGGTGAGTCCCATCAGCACACGGCGAGAGCAAGGTGGAATGCACCTGCCATCCATCCACGTGGCTCTTGTTTGTAATATTGTAGCTACAAATCTGTGTGATGCTAAATCCTCAGAAGAAACAAGCCTAGTTTCTCCAGCTCAGATGTCACAAATTATTGGTAACTGAGGTGAGAACAAGAAAAGTAGGGTGAGTTATCTTGCTGTTTCATGAAAGTGCCCTTAGATTATTGAATGTTTGTGGAACTTCCAAAGTCAGATTCAGAGAAGCTTAGCTGAGGGTGTTTCTTCCATAAATCATAGTTCCTTCCTTGGTTCTTTCCTAAATCACACTCACCCACAACTTTGTGGGTGCCTATTACACTTACTATTACTGTCTTTTTCCTTGAAAGTGTTTTTTTTTGCTTTTTTTTCTACTGCTACTCAGTGACTAAAATCATTTCTGTTCTAGGAATGCCGAGCACATTGTAGTGTGTACTGTACTGTGCTGAGGATGCAGCCACTTGCTGTGACCTGTGCATATTTTGCAGAGGCTCTAGCACATCTGCAGGATCCATCAGGAGCTTCTTTGAGATCTGCACAGCTGATACATACAGTTGAACTTTGCTGAAAATAAGTTTTAGCTAGGGCTTCCATGTTTCATCCCTTCAACAAGGGCTGCTCCTTGGCAGAGTGCTCCTTCAGAGTTCTGAGGTTTTTAAAACTTCAGGACAGGTGTCTGGGTTTTAAGGAGACTGGGAGAGTCACTGGCAGTGTGAGCATGTGTACAGGCAATCATTTGAGGAGAAAGAAAAGTTCTGATTTACCAACAGGAGGCTCAATGAGACATGTTCTTTATTGACCTGAAAATTCACAGTCTGTCTTTGTTCCTTGGGTTCTTAGAAATTGTTTATAATCGATTTTTATTGAACAAGCAAGGAAGAGCTGAAGATCAGAGAGGGAAAGAGAAATTTGGCATCATTTAAAGAACAAAGAGAATTTCCCAGCTGGAAAGCAACAATCTCTGAGAATTGTTTTCCAAATTTTCCACCCCCTCTGTCAGTGCAGAGTACTGCAACAAAGAAAAAGATGGAAAGAACTGCAGCTTCTTGTGTTGCTGCCCTGATCCCAGAAGGAAGCTGGAGCTCAGCTGGAATCTGGCATCTCCAGAGGCTGGAGAATGCATGAGGCTGCAAGTCAGCATCCCTTCATCCATCAGCTGGGCCTGATGCATCACTCCTCTTAGAGACAGAGACCTCTTAGACTGCAGTCTCACCTCCAGAGTGCAGTTCCATAACTCACCATTGTTGATTTCCCATTTTAATTACTTTATTTTTTCAAATATAAATTTTTTTTTTGCTATACATCAAGTGTATGCATTTGGTTGAAATGTTGGTCCATGTAACAAATACCATGTAGCAGAACTCCTCTGAGCTCCAGCAGGGTTCATCTTCAAATCCTTGGGGTCTACAAAACCTGACCTGCACTTTCCTTGAGTTCTGGCTAGAAAAGACTGATGTGTTGCTCTCTTGACTCGTTCAGGGGATGACCTGATGCGCTGTGTGGATCTTTACAATCAAGCCCAGTCCAAGTGGTTTGAGGAGATGGTGACCACCACTCTGGTATGTGACATCTAAAACTACCCTTGCAAAATTGTAATATCCTACAGTATTCATCATTCACAGCTACTTCAGTGTAAAGCAGTGGGGAAAATTGGGTGATAAATCTCACATTGTGTTGCCCATTCTCAGTCCCAAGGAAAACTCATCGTTAGGGGAAAGAAGAAATAATTGTTTGCAGAAGTCATTAAACCAGTTCAGGGCTGCCTAGGGGCCAGAACACTCAATTGTCCTTAGGAAGGATGAAGTAATGCACAAGAAAAACACATGAGAAATCACCAAATCCATTTATACATTAATGCATTTTTCTATTCCATGATTTCACAATTTTCTTTGAAGTCTCCCCAGAGCCATCTCTCCTGCAGACTTAGCAGCCCCAGTTGTCTCAGCCTGCTTTGCTACAAGCTTAATCCAGAAGCTGCATATCCTTGTTGTGCTGCCAACCTCAGATCTGGCTGCAGTGCTCCACGTGGGATCTCACCAGAGCTTCCCCTAAGGCTTCTCCTCCAGACCCTTTACTATCTTTGTGACCCCACTTTGGACACACTTAACAGCTTAATGTCTTTTTTTATGTTGTGGTGCCCAAAAGTGCACACAGTGCTCAGTGTATTCAGTCCAGAAGGACTAACTGCAGATTTTGGGGTATAATACCAGAAACCAGAAGAAGAGGGAGGCAGAAAACATTAGGAGGAATGATAGAAATCACCTGCCTTTCCAACTAAAGTGTTGCTGGGTTCTGCTTATTGCCAGCTGAGCAAGGTGGAAGCTTTTCCCAGCTCATCATCGTGTGAACTGTGCTCTGATAGGGATCTGGTTGGAATGGGGGGTTGCTCTGAGCCATCCACCCCAATGTGCTTTGGCTGCCCCAGGGAATCACTCTAATTTCTGTAGACAGCAATAAAGCACACAAAACTTCCTGCAGGAAACAGATTCCCTCTTGCTTGCAGCATCTCTGAAGGCAGTGGCTCCGCTCTCTGCCTTGGTTGTGTCCGTTTTGGAACCTTTTGGAAAGGTTTGACCTTTTTTACTGTTGCTAGGCTCAGGCTGAGATGACTGCTGTTGCTTGCTGTTTCTTATTCTTTGCAGAGCAGAGGAATGTGCAACCACAGAGTCCAGCTCCAAAGCATGACCCTGGGGCAGTATCGCACCTACTGGCAGCCTTTTGTGTTTCATCCTTTCTCTGGGCCTCCAAGCTCAGGTTCCAGTAAAAATATGGACTTGTTTTTCTTCATGTCCAGGAGCTTGAGAGACTAGAAGTTGAAAGGGTGGAGATGATTCGGCAGCATCTGTGCCAGTACACACAGCTGCGGCACGAGACAGACATGTTCAACCAAAGTGTAAGTGTGCTTTTTGTTCGGTCTCTGTGGTCTTCACTGCCCTCCAGCTGAGCTGTGGTCCCTCCTGACCTGGTCTGACTGGCTTTTGTCAAAGGATGTGGGAGAAGTGTCTGCAGGCAGCTTGTTAGTCTGCAGCAGTGCTGTGGTGCCTCCCTGCAGTCCTGCTCCTCCAGGACTCTCTGATCACATTTCATACTGCTGGATCACAGCTCTTTCCTGGGGGAGACAAACCAACTGAAGGACATTTGGCCAGCATTATTAGCTGTCCCAGCATGATGCACTACTCCTTGAAGTCTTCTGTTTGTGCAAGGAAGATGCTGAATTGTTTGACTGTTGGAAAAGGGAATATATATATTTGTTCCTTATTAAAAACTGGCCATTTATCAAATACTAAAACGTGGGGGGGATGCATGCTGACTCAGTACAGTTGTGTTTGGTGTAAAGTGCAGATTGCAGGACAGGAGTCTGAGGCTGCCTGGCTGCTGCCTGGCACAGTAAACCTGTCCCTGCTTCTTCATGTTAAGTCTCCCTCCTCTCTGCTTACACAGGGCTGCATGTTCAGACCTGTCTTGTCCATCCAGTCTCATGCACAGGCAGCTCTCACTTGTCTGCAGATGCAGTGTAGGCATGCCCACAGCTGCTCTGCATGTCAGAGCAATGACTCCCTGCTTGAAGTGTGCCCTTGACATTTGGATTCTTGTTTTCTTCGTTTCAGACAGTAGAACTTGTGGATCAGTTGCTTCGGAAAGTGGATCCTGCCAAAGACAGGGAACTGTGGGTAAAAGAACACAAAACTGGAGATATCCGACCTGTGGACATGGAAATATAGACTGATCTATAGTTGGATGTGCTGAGTCCACTGAATTAAGCAGGCTAACGATTGTTTTTAAGGGTCAAAAGAGCATAGGGAAAAGGTTGTTTCACTACCAGACAGACACCTTGTAATTCATGCCTGTATGGGCTCTCTCTGTTCCATTTAGTCATTACAATGGTCCTCGTTGTGCTAAGCCTTAAGCACCAGACATTCCAGGGTGAAAAAACCAGATGTGTGCTTCCCACCAGAGGTTCCCAATTGCACGCAGCTTCCAGGAGAAATCTGCTTCCTGGCACAGAAAGTGCTCTGTTCTTCAGTGACTTTGTGCTCCACCTCTTGCATGACTATCTCTATAGGGTATGTTAGAACAACCACACAGAGAGCCTCTGGCCAGCAAGGAGATAACTGATTATGATGCAGGAGGCAAGAAAGGCCTGATCATGAATCCCAGGTCTATCACTGACTGCCCTCATGGCCATAGGCAAGTCAATTAACTTTCCTGGCTCCCCCATTTATAAAACCTGTGTATCTTGCAGCACTGCTGTGTGAATACATTGCTTTTCATATAACACTGTCTTTCACCACGGCAGTGAAGTGATGGCCCTTCTCCCAAAATCCATGGAGAAGATTCCTGTTCTTCCTGTTTTATACTCCCTCTCAGGGATACATAAACCCATTTTCATGATTTCTGTTGTCGGCCAGTCGATAAGTTTGAAAGTGTTACCATCACAATTTTTTATCAGGAAAGACTTGGTTGTACTATACCTACCTCATTAGCTGTCAGAGTGCCCTCAATGACAGAAGGAGGTCATATTCCAAGGAATAAATGAGATGTTTAAAATCCTCTCCTGCTCATGCAAGGTGTTTTTCCACAGAATCTCCTTAAAGGTAGTCCTCTAATAGTTTACTTGGGATTCAGGTTAAAATTTCCTTTGTTGGTTTCTTCAGGTGAATATCACAGACTTTAGGTATTTTTAATTACCGGGTTTGTCCCGCTAAATTTTGGCTTTTGTCTTTTTGGAGCCTGATTTTCAAAGGTGCCATGAATGTGATGCTAGATTGCATTCAGTGTAGATGTAGGTGCCCAGCACTTCTGTACCATCAGAGTCTTAACCTGAGTTTTTTTTCTATGTTACCCTTACTGCAAACCACCAAAAATTCAACACTGCTCTTAGAAAATAGTGTTATGTAGTTTGGGGGCTGGTTTTGAAAAGGTATTTATTTTCTTCTGCTGTTATTTCTGATTGAGTATTCAGTGTTGCTGTTAATGTATTTTTTCAGCATTTCATACAATGCAAAAATTCTTCAGATTCTTGCTTTAGATCCAGGACAAATCTTGATTCTCACCACTGTGGCCTTTATTCAGTGTTTACTGTGGTCTTAGCTACAATATCCCAAATCATACTATTGCATTTGATCCACAGTTTTGCTCCATTTTATCTCACTGTTACTGTCTTTTTCTCCCCAGGCCCAGAACTGCATCCTTCCTTCGTTCTACTCTTTCAGGTTTTTGTTCACCATCCTCCAAATGCTGTCATTAGATCATTGGGAGTCAATATTCCTCTTTACAAATACAAACTGAGACACAGAAGAGTCTTAGCTGAAGCATGTTTATAACATTGCTGCAGTGTTTAATTTGCTGGTTTATTATTTCAAACAGAATTCTCTTGCATTCTTCTATTGCTCCCTTTTTTTCAACCATCTCTTTCCTAGTACAGGTCCATTCCTGTATTGCAAATGCCTTCACAACCCACTCCTCTGCTGCTTCGTTAACCTTTACAAACCTTTGGCATCCTTTGCATGTTGGCAGGTGTAGTGCCATGACTGCTGCATGCTCAGGATCCCTGCTCCTGGTGTGACACTTCCTCTTCTGCACCTCCCCTGCACACCTGGGAATTTGGACCGCAGTTTTATTCTTGGTGTTGGAAGAGCACACTGTGATGTGAGCCTCCCCTAAGTTCCTGCACAGACCATTGCAACACCAGTTGAAGTGTTTGGTTTGTCTGAGTGTCCTTGAGCTCAGTGAGAGCCTCCTTCCCTTCTTCCCTCAAGCAGGGCAGTTGATGATCTCTCCTTTCCAGTCTTTCTACTGATTCACTCTCTGCCCTACCAATTTTTGGCCATATCAGTGTATACTTCTCCTAACTCATATCTTGCACTTCAGAGGACAGGCACTTTTTTATTTCTTAAGCCACAAATGCAGGTTGAACTTTCAAAACTTTGGTGGCCAAAACAATGTGAACACATGAAAGCTGCATTGCAGATTGCCCCCTGTTCTAGGCTCTGTTGGAAATTGAAATGAGCAATCTTGACAATGCCTCAGCACATTCTTGTTTTGATTGCAAAACAGAACTAGTTGTGCACTTTATACAGTATTCTCCTTAATAAATACAATATATACTATATATATATATATATATATACAAATATAATAAAATAACCTGAAATACTCTGTTAGCAATTACACTTTATTTTTCCTCTATCTTTAAAGATGTTTGTTGCTTTATCTATTTTGGACTGGAAATTCTGTGTCCATTAGCACAGGTTTCTCTGGGGACTATAACATGTTTTGATTCCTCTGCTAAGGTGTATTTTTGCTGCTCTGAATTCTTAGTTTGGGTTTTTTGTTTCTGTTAGTGTGTTTGGCTTTCTGTTTGTTTGTTTGGGGGGTTTTGGGTTCTTTTTAGTTTTTTTTTACTTTTGGTTTTATTTCCTGGTAGTTTTCCTGCTTCTAGCTCTTGGTCCACTTGAAATATTTCAGGGATGTGAGTTGCCCAGAGCTGTAATTCTCCTGGTGGAGTCTGTATCTCTTTTTCACTTCAGTAACCAGAGGAGAGCGCAGGTACCTGGCTGTGGATCTTCCCCAGCCCCAGAAGACTCCGGGTTCTGCTCCACGACAGGAGAAATGCTTCATCCACAACACTTCCACCTGTATTCAGTGCAAATTTTGCTGTTGCTTGTAAACAGTTTTCAGCTCATTTCTTTCAAAAGATGATTTCCTTCTTGATATGACACTGCAGATCTCTGTTACCTTCTGGCTCACTCCCTTCTCTGATGGATTTTTGGGTTGTGTGATGCTTTACAGGTCAGTGCGTGCTGGAGTTCCTTTGCTTCTAACAGGCAGCATCTTCAAAGAGGGTAGTGGCACCTTTAAAGGAGAGCAAGGGTTCCTGCTCTCACAGGTGACTTTAGGAGTTTCAGCAGTGCTCTGTTTGTCTTCCACTGAGTTTCAAAAATGCAGCAAAATCCAATCTGTCTTCATGCTCCCCCTAAACAGCTGCTTGATCAGACTTGGTGTTTTATTTAAATCCTAGCATGTGTGGATGCTGCATGATGCTGCTGCTGTGTAACTGAGTAACGGAATACCAAACCAAGTCTCTTTCCTCCAGTACTGAGCATCATCTCATTTCATCTGGCAGCTCACACTCCTGGTGTGAGTTTTTGCTGGTTTAGTCACTGTGGGGTTCAGATTGGCAGGGTTATCTCACGTCTCTGTATGCTCTGAGGTCCCAGAGCAGGTCAGTTCTTAGTTAACACTTTGCTTTCACTGGCAGAGGTACAACAAGGGGGGATTTTGCTCTGGTGCTCAGCAGGTAGCTCTGTTTGCCCAGGTCTGTTAAGCCACCTGTGTTTTGGGAGTGGAGCCACACCTGTGAGCTCCCTCGTGCTCTGAGCAATGCTGTCACACACTTGTCCTGTTCTGGAGGGCTCTCTGGCAATCTCACTTTCAGCCAGAGACTTTTGGCCCTTCTCTTAGCAAAAGGGCTTCCAAATTCCATGGCTTCAGATCTGTTTGGTGTCCTGAGTGCCAGAGCTCAGTGGTGAGTGTGCTTGCCAGCTGCACCCTCAGCTGCCACACAGAATGAGAACTTTTTGTCCATCATCCAGACCTTCCTGCCTGTGTCTTCAAAGCACAGTTGAAAATCTTTCTCTCTAAGGTATTCTTTCAGCTTATTTCCTACCAGAACTCATTCTGGATCCAGTGCTGTTGGCTGATTCCTGTAGGAGTTTATGAGCTGAAAGCAGTGAGTCCTTTACCACACGGGCCAAATGCACTCTTCTCCCATTAGCAGCAAGATTCCAGTTTCTTTCTTGGAGCAGTATCCCAAAAAGGCCTAATTTTCACTTTGCCAACCTGCTCCAGATTCAGTCATCTCTCTGACTCACGCTTGTTCATCACTTCTATAGGTTGGACATCTTTTGGAAGACTTTGGTTGCTCCCTTGTAGGGATGTTAGTTCATTATTGGACACTGGAAATATAGAAGATAGCTTTAATTTTATTTTTTTTTTTTTTAGTTTTAAAATACTGTAACAGCAGTGAAAATCATACAGAAATCCCTGTTATGTTTCTAGACTCCCTTTCTCCCTGTGCAGCCCCTCCTGAGCTGCTGGAGTGCAGCTGTGCTCCCCCTTATTGCACAGGTAAACACTGAAGTCACTTCCTTGAGTGCCTGCCAGGCAGGTTGCAAACTTGTGCACTGCTTCTTTTTCCCTTTATGCAGATATTTTTAATTTGCTTGGGTTGTTTTGGGTTTTTTTTCTCCTAACAGGAATTTTCACAGCATTCATGGGAAACTTCTATATGCTCATAGCAGTTGTAGTTTCTCAGGCTTTGTTAGAACTTCCTACAATTGTCCCTGTTTTTAATTTCATTATTTAAATATTGGCTGCAAGTTAGGCTTGTTGTGTAGAAATGGGCATTCTTCACCTGTTCTTTGAAAGTGCTTTGAAAATTGGAATACAGCAGGGAGCTAAGAGATAAGACTCTTTGAAAATCAGGCTAACAAACAAAAATGCATAAACCTCTTTTTTCCTTACTTGTGCTCAAGTACACGGATAAAGTAAATCTCAAGAAATGAGAAATAGTTAACGTGTAGTTGCTCTCTGTGCAGCTGCCAACAGCTCCAGTAGTGTTCTTGTGTGGGGCTGCAGTCAGAACACACCTCTGGAGTATGGACCCACAGGTCCTGATGCAGCTGTAAAAACCCAAATCCATAATTCAGTGTCAAAGTAGCTCTGCCCATTTATTTCTTCAGTCACACACAGGGAGAGAAAGGGCACTGCTTAGCCAGGTGGGTCCTTCACTACCAAGCACCTTAAGAAATCCACACAAGCACTTTGAAGGTCCCCCTGGAATGAGTAGATGTGACTTCTTGATGTGATTATTTGATGTTTCCTTCTGAACTGAAAACAGATTTACTGTTTCACAGTATCTGGTGTGCCCTTGGCCACTAGTGCAGCCTGCTGTGTCTGTTCCCAGAGGCAGCAGCAGACTCTGGTGTCCTGAGGGCAGTCCTGGTCACCCTGGCATTGCTCTCATTTGGCAATTACGTCTTCAAAAGACAGTGCCAAAAAGGCAGTTTTCAAAATAATGAGCTTTTCAGTTCACAGACCTCTCTGGAAAGCCTGCAGGCTTTTTGCTAACCCAGTGTGTGTTGAAATGGGAGAGTGGCGTGGCAGAGGTTGCTGAAGCATTGGCTCTGAGGAGTTCCTGCTGTGTGGACATCTCCTCCCACCCTCTCACAGGGATGGGGAACAGCCCCCAGGCATCCTGTGTGCACCAGAGGAGCCTGCTGGTCACATCTGTCTTAACCAGGTGGGCAAGAGGCACAGATAAATTCAGTTTAGAGCAGACACATAGGGCAGGAGGATCATTACCTCAGTGGCATCTCTCTCAGACCCTGATGGGCCCCTTCCTTCTCCCAGTCCTGCTCAGCACTTGAAAATCAGTGCTGAAATGTGTCTGTTGCTTGATGCAGAGGTGTCCAGCTCTCACCTGGTTGCACCCATGGAAGACCAGCAGGTGCCAGTGCTGCCCTGGGCACTGGGGAAGGGCTCTGGCATTTGGCTGCCCAGACCCCAGGGCAGCTGTGCTGAGGCTGCTGTGCCTCAGGAGCCTGGAGCACACAGCCCTGCTTTGCACAGTGGGAATGAAGTCTTTCCTGGCAACAAATCTTGGTCTTTTCCTCAGAATCATTGTAAGAATAACAGCCATTGCTTTGTCTTACAGTAGATTTTATTCATACAAGTGTTGCATCTTTCAACTCCTTATTGTACCCTCTCCATTGTTACTGTAGCCAGCCCTTCATCAGTGAAATACAACACTTTTCAGGACCTTTAAATTTGAAATTTTATAGAATATATCTGTTATTTCAATGTGCTGACCAAACTTCATGCTTTTGGGTGTTTTCTGAGAGTTTTAAGAGCTTTTTTGGAGAGGTTGTTTTGGGTTTTATTTTGGATTTTTTTTAATCAGCCACAAGGTTTGGAAGTGTAAAAACTTCTTTCTGTGCTACCCACAGTTTCTTTTTCCTTCCTGGATTTTTTTTTTTTTTGAAGGGACCAACACATAGCACAATTTAACTTAAATTTCTAATCCCATGCATTCCTCAAGGCAGAAACCTTTTGTGCCTATTGATGCTTCTGAATTTAAGAACTGTACGTGGATAAAATTTTTCATAGACCAATAAAAAAATTAAGTCTTAGATTAACCACTTAATCACAGAAGAAAACCACGTATGGATTTGAGACATTCAAATTTAATTCCCTCAACTTACATTAAGTTGAACTATTTCAGGTGTGTTATAAGAGACAAACTCAGTGGATATTCAGAACAAAAGTTTTCCAGCTGCTCTATCTAGGTTCAGTGAGTGGACAGGACTAATTTTGAATATATATCAGGACTATAATTTTGAATATATGCAGGCTTTTAGGGCTACTGACTTAACAAATAACTGAGTAATGTTTGTATCTCAACCCTATTAAAATTCTGCTAGTAGATCCCCTTGAAGTGCCTCTTTAAACAGTATCTGCTACAAGCACGTGAAGAATACACAGATTCACCCTCCAAATTGCCAAACCTCAGGAGCAGCCACTGTGCACAGATCTGGGCAGGAATCTCAGCCCCTTCCTTGCTCTGAACTGTGCACCCCTTTAGGACACCCACATGTCCAGGAGACCTGCCTTTGGATCTGATAATTTGCTGTCCAGCTCAGGCATTCTAAACTCTCAATCCTGAGAATGGAATGGAAAAGATTAGACTTAAAAGCAACTGCATTGAAGCTAATCTTTGGACCCATCCTTGGGTTCAGTAGAATAAGCAGGGAATTCTGCATAAAAACACTATGCATAAAAGAGTTGTTACACTTCACTGCATAAAAATAATTTATAATAATTATAATAATAAAAGCCCACCACTTTTTTTTTATTATTTTTTTTTACAGCAGTTGCAGAGAAGAAACATTTTAGTCCTGGAACTCAAAAGCTGAATGTGATTTCAGGGATCTCACACATAATGATCAAAGTCATGTTAATCCCAGAATTTGGGAATGATTGACCTGAAATCCCTTGTTCCTTTGGAGTTTTTTGATGAAATGGCTGAGATTATCAGAATAACCTAAGGAATTTGGAAGTCCATACTCTGTCAGGTCAAAAACACTCTTTAGGGGCAGCAGCCTCTATCCATTATGAAAACAGCAGGTACTAGTGTTGGACAAAAATGCTTTTTTCTCCTTTGATGATTTCCTTGTTTTCTGCAACACAAGACAGTGTGAGAATTCCACTGGGCAGTTCTGCAGACACTTTAGCAGCAGGGATTCACAGGCAGGCCAGATTTATCAGTCATACACTAAACCAGAGTTTTCTACCAAAATAAAATTGCTTATTTGGTTCTTTTTGTGTAAGTTTTCCTAAATACTTCTAAATTTCTAGGAAAGATGTCTTTTGCCAGTACTAATGGCTTGTTTTTAAAGATGCTTAACCAAAATTTTATAACTTCCCATAAATTCTGGCTGACTAGACCCCTTATAAATAGTTTATTGATCATGCAGCCTCTGTCTGGGTTACTAGTAAATCTTGGATCATTGTGGAAATTACAGGATGGCTTTTGTTCCCTAAGGATAGATGAAGGAATCGTTTACTGAACTGAAATTGAATGAAGAAAAGATTTAAGGGGCAGATCTTCAGCTCTGGTAAAGTGGCAGGGTTCAGTGGAAGCTACTTGATGTCAGCTGTGGATCTTGTCCTTCAGTGTTGAAGGCATTTCCTATATGTAATTTTTCTGTCTTACTGTAAAACAATTTCATATGGTTAAACTGTATTTTCCTATATTGTTCTGCAAGTTTATATACACCATAGTGCTCATCTCATCTCCTGTAAAATAAACTGTACAGAGACACATTGAGCATGGAATTGTCTTGACCCAGTTGCTTTTTCTTCTCCCACAGCCCCAAAGCTCATGAGTGAGATCCAAGACATCCTGTGCATATTATATTGTTGATATTAGCTTGATGCAGCTTGAATTTGCAGCCACATCTGGGGTGTAATCTGCTTGTGCTTACTCTTTTCAGGTCTTTACATGATATTCAGAACCATATTGTTCCTTTGGTTTTTAATTTAATTTTTTTTTTCTGGAAATCAGCTGAAGAAACTCATGTGGTTAAGTGGTTCTTGAGCAAGCAAGCTGAGCACAAGCAGCCTGGAGCAGCTGCCTTGGAATGGGTGTGTTTTCATGTTTTAAGTGATCTGGAGCTCTTCCCCACCCCATCAGTCCTTTACTTTAAGCTTCACATGCAGCTTGAAGCTCAGTCAAAAACACTTTTATATCTAAAACCTTGTTAATGAATTTTCTCCTTTCGGTATTTGCGTTGACATGTGTGCTGACAGGTTTTCTGACAAAGTCAAAATCAGGCCTGCTAAAATCCTGCCTAACCCAGCCCCTGCCTGTGGGAGGGGGCTCAGAGCACTGGGGTCCCAGTTCTGCAGAACAAGAGCCCCCCTTCCAGCAGGGTGTGACTCTTGGAGGGAGCACACCCAAACATCTCATAAACCTCGGTGGAGATTCTTTCTAAGAATTTTTCCAGTTTTGAACTCACATAAGAATTGGTTTCTGTGACTGCCTGCACTCTGTGCTTGTGCATGGAGGTGGGAGGTGGTGGCAGAGGTGTGCACAGTCTTCTCAGAAAGGAGAAGACACTGAAGGTGAAACATTGAAAAAGTTCCAGGTGAAAGCTCAGTTTTCACAGCAGTGTCTTTGCACCTTGTCCAAAGTTACCTAAATCTGTTAAAAACCTCTCAAAAGGCTGTTTCAGGTTCTGGTGCATGGTGTAGAGCAGCTGGTGAATACCCTCCACATCCTGTGGTACATTCAGCTACAACCTGACAGCAAAAATCACTTCCTTGTAGAAGACTTTGACACGACCTTGAAAGCCAAGTTGGGGAATTACTGAACGAGGCACTTGCTGTGCTGATGCAGTTCCATGGCCAGAAAAACATCACAGTGAGAGGACCAGAGCAGGTACTGGCAGTGGCAGGGTGGCAGCCTTGCAGTCTGCAATATTTAGATGCAGAGGTCACGAGGTTTAACACCATTCTGCACAGGAATTTCTCTGCTAGACTTCTGCAGCCATGATAATTAAAAAACAAGCTCAGATTCCACAATGTAATTGAGCCTTTGACTTCTGAGGTCCATCCAAGAGGAGAAACAGGAGATAACTGCACCTACAACGTTCCTTAGACACCTACAGATGTCTCAGGCCAGAACCTAAAGCAGTGCTCCTGGAGCCATGGGCCAGCCCTAAGGCAGGTAAGTGCTTTGGTGCTCTTGGGGACCCTGACAGTGATCTCTGGGATCTGTCTTCATCTGTGTTGGCCACTGGACACAAAGAGACAACTCTGCCTGCAGAAGGTCACAGATGTTTATGATGATTTGCAGTGTTCATGGAAGGATTCACATAAGGCCATTGAAATAGGAGTAGACATGGTAACTGCTGTGAGTCAATTGAGACAGTTAAACTTATTTTACAGGGTGAATGGGCTGAAAGTGTTTTTTAACCTTCAGGAATCAATGTGACCTGTGCTCTGCACAAGGCCCTTAGAAGTGAAAGCTATTTTTAAAGCAAAAGTAAAGCTAAGTGCAAAGTTAAAGCAGTTGGTTTGGCTCAGATCTTGGAATCTTTCCTGGTTTGCTGCACTCTCACCATTTTTGTCATGTGGTTTCAATGAACACAGTGGCAATTTCTGAATTGATGGTCAGATGGCCCAGGGAATTGTATTTGCACAGCTTGCTTTGAACTATCCTAACACACAGGAGAGGTTTCAGCAGTCATGATCCTCTGGCTTGACTTGAGCCACAGAAATACTCAGGTCATATTTCTTCCTTGGGGAAGTTACTGTCTCGGTCCTTATACAAATGAAAAATAATTACAGACATGCACTGGTGAAGTATTTATTGTAGGGACAAACAGTCCAACCTCAGTGGTCTGTGCTGCAGGCTGTTTGCACTGTTGTTTTCACAAGTCCCTGAAAGCAGAGGATGAAAACTTTCAGCTCAGATTTGATTCTGACTTCCTGTTTTATCGAGTAGAAAACCAAACACTCAAGTCTCCCAGAGCTACAGCAGAAGTTACAGGTTTTTATTTACAGAGCTATGATTTTTTATTTTTCTTTTTTTTTTTTTTTAAAGACTCTATGATTTGTCTCTGGTTCTTTTCTCAAAGAGACTGAGACTGGATTTTTGTATCAGCTGCTTGGATATTTTTAAGCTGAGTTCTACAGTCAGCTCTGCTCTCAGGCTTCAGGGGCTCTTCCCACTGTGCTTCCTCTTTCTGCAAGTCTGTGTGAAAGGGAGGAGGGCTGGATGGCACTGTGCTGGAACATGGAAATGTGGGGGTTAAGTCCAGACACCCTCGTAGCACTGCTGACAGTTCTCAGGGATCTTTCATGGTTCCTCACATTCTCATGTGAATGAGAAATTGAGCTGCAAATTGTGTGCAGCTGTGCTTTAGAGCACAGCTACCAGCCTGGCTGAGGAGCTTGCAGAGAGCACAGGCAGACACGAGTTCAGTGCCTTTCTGACCTTCCTTGCTTTGTGCTTTCCTTCGTTGCTGAAACCAGTTTATTTCTTACCTCCCAGGTCTGTGAAAAGTAAAACTCTGGCTTAGGCCAAAGGTCCACACAGCCAAGTGTCCTGGCATGACAGCAGCAGTGAGCTCCAGTTTCACAGGGAAGGGTGGGGGAAGAAAGCTTTGTCATGAATTACATGGAATACATTGTGATTTAGCCCTGGATTTCACTCTGATCCTCTGCTCAGCAGTGTTGGAGTTAACCACCACTTGACAGATTTTTTGCCTCCCTGCAAATAGACAGATGGACAGTTTAGTCAGTGATTGATAATTGATTTTCTGTGATACCTTTCTCAAATGAAAGCAAATAAATCCACTCCTTTCCTTCCCTGAAAGACAAAAGAGAAAGGGGAAAAAAAAAAAGACAAATTCTTCCTAATGCCTTTTTGCTGGTTTTGTTCCTTTCCTTAATTCTTCTAGGTGGTGTTTTGCATCCTCTTTGGTGAGCAATGTGATGAACGTGATGCTCAAGGAAACAGCCTTGGAGCCTTTGAGGGCTGTGTAGGTGGCAGCTGAACTTTAATTTCCTGGAGCTAATTGCAGCAGTGAAGCTCACAAGCAGCTGCTTCTAATTGTAGTTGTGTGTGGCTCCAGGAATGGCTGCAGAGATACCTAAACATGAGGTGACATTTAGCACAGCAGAGAGTTTGTGGGATTTGAAATGGCAGGTGGAAAAAAAATAGTTAAAAATCCAGAAGGATGGTTGCTGTGGAAGCTGGGAAAGATGATGGCAGCAAAATAACATCATGAAGAATTCTGCAGATACAGAATTTTCCTTCATGGGAGCTCAGACTGATGGAAAGAGGGAAGAAAATTCCTGAATCAAATGAAGTGAAAGGAAGGAACAGTATTATCAATTCCAAGGCATAACTGACAGAGCTTTCCAGAATGGAATGTTTGTGCTTTACTGTTTGAGCCTTTGAGGCACAGACTCTGGCATGTAGGAGCAATATATTTAACAAAGAATGTAAGTACACATGAATAATTAGCATACATTTGACATCTCTGGCTGTAGGAGGAGCCACTGTGTCTGGAAGGTTGTGCTCTAGGTGTAGTAAAATATAAAAGATTAATAGCCTGTCTCACAACAGATTACTGAGATGGAATAAACCTTATTTGTACATACCAGATCAGTTATCACACCACATCTCATGGCAAAGCTCTTGTGAACCCCACAGGCTATTCTGGGCTTGGAATGCAAATTATTAATTATTTTTTTGTCATGCAAGTTTTGACAAGAAGAAAAATCCTTGGCAAAGACAACTCCAAAGCTGTGGCAGTCAGGTTTGGGCTGTCTCTGATGTCCTGAGGATTAATAGAACACCTTGTCTTACTGAATGGAGTGCAGACCCCAGGACTGTGGGAAGCCTTTATCTCCCACCAGGTTTTTTCATGAGGCAGTGGAAATCTGGGAGTAAAGATGAAGAGAAAAACCTGTTACCAGATCTGCACAAGCAAGATTCCCCCTGGGGGAATGTTAAACTTTCTGTAGCCTGACAATTACTCAGTGTGTAAATTATATACATAATTCACATAAAAAACCACTTTAAAACACCAGCTTAGGTCACGCTGTCTCCTCCACTCTTGTTTTGTCAGAACAAGATCCTGTTTCTTGTCCTTCCCACTGTTTCTGTGTCCAGTCTGTGCACTTGCAGCATCCCTGGCTGCTGCAGGTGACTGTATCAGCTCCCCAGGCTTCAGTGTTCTTCCAGGGGCTCCACAAAGGGTGCAAAGAAAATCCCAGCAGGATTCCTGACCTTCAAGTTCCCAGGAGGACAGTCAGCTACTCCTGACTCTAACATATGTGAATTGTGAAGTTTGCTGCTGTCCCCTGGAAATATTTAGAAACTGGGAGTTTGTAATAATTCTGTCAAGTAAATCATGCTGTATTCTTGGTGTTATCTGCTTAGGAAGGCGCTTTCTGAAGGAATCCATGTGATGGTTGTTTTTGTCTGGATCAGACCTCAGGCCAACAGGACCTGCTTATATAACAAGAGTTGATTTTATAAACTGAAAGAGGCAAAAAGCCCAAACACATAATAGAGAGGAGAAAATGCAGCTAGAGGGGCTGCTTTTCAAAACACTCAAAACTGGTTTCTTGACCATATGAAAATCTTTAAAATGCAATTAAAATGTAAACTATTTCACTGAGATGCCATAAAATCTTATCATTTCAATGTTTTTAACACCTAAGTAAAACACATTGTAAATCACTTTGATCTCTTTTGTGTCTTAAACAATGGCTCTAGAAGAAATCAGTCTGTTTTAAATTGAGGAAGACACAATGTGTGCATGTGTGGTGTCTGGTGTTTCCAGTGGCTGCTGAAGAAATCCATTGCAGTAAAATTCTTCATAAACAGAATTCACATTCTAGTAAAAATCCTTTAAAAACTCCAGATCTATTATTTTAAAACAGATCAAACATTTACAGTTTATTAATATATTACTGAAATATACAACTTTGTATTGATTAAATAAACACAGATAGAACTGTAAAAGAAATACTTTTTTTTAAGTGCCAGAAATATGTTTTGAACTAGAGCTAGTCAATGAATTGATCTGTTCTTTGCAATAAAAGAGTATAAATACCACAGGTGGCATGGCTAAACCTCTGTAGCCTGATAAATAATCATTGAAGCACTGGTAAGCTATATAAGCTGGATCATAGAATATTAACCAACTTTATTGCATTTCATGGGTCTCTGGATGAGTTTGGATGTGAGAAATGAAACTTCACCATGGCTCTTGTTAAATGGAAGAAGAAGGATTTCACAATATTCTTTTGGTGCTGTCACAATCCCATGTCTTTATCCATTTTGGGTGCCCTGGGAGGAAGGTGGAGGTGGAATTTACCACTGAGTTGTTTTGTCATTAAGGACACATGTAGGGGAAACCAGAAATCATGGTGGCTTGTGTAAAAAAAAAAGAGCCAGAAAAAAATAAAAAGTAAAAAAAATTGCATCAGAACATTTTATTTGGGCACATTCCATGGAAATATTTGGGGATTTTCATCTCATAATGACATTTCCAGCACTAAACTTTTAAGTGAAGATGCTCAAAAATGCAAGCAAAAGCTTGGTTCTTCCCAAGTTTGTTTTTTGGGTTTTATGTATATGTTTGGTCTGGTTTGTTCTAGAATTGGGGCGGTTTTCTTGAGCTGGGGTATGATTTCAGTCTGTGAAGGAAGGAGTCTTCCACACACATCTCTCTATTTATGAACCACTCCTATGAAAAAGAAAAACTAAGAACTTCTCATGATGTGAGTCAAAGGCAGTACATATGGATGAAGCTGATAAAATGTGTCTCCAGAGCTTGCTTATTTCCAGAGTTCATCCAGCAAAAATGTCAGCTGAAAGCCAAACTGCTCCATGCAGAGGAGCTCTCCTGCCCAGCCACAGGTCAGCCACATCCAGATAAAAATCACTTTTCTCAGACCAAGGAAACAGGAACACCTGGGGTATCAGCTGCTTGTTCCTCACACTGCACATCCCAGAGCTCTGAGCAGCTGCAGGTGACAGATCTTTGCAAACACTGGCTGCTGGCAGGTTCTGTCCCAGGGACACCTTCCTAAATCTCACTTTCCTCAAAGACTTCCTCGGTCGTCTCTCCGGTGGTGACCTCTCCCTCGCTGCTGTCCGACATGCTCATCTGGGGAGGGCCTGGGCTGGCCTCTGTCCTCTGCCTGCCCAGCAGCTGCTTCAGCTGCACGTCCCAGGGCTTGCTCACCTCCAGGCAGAAGCGCTGCTTGCTGCTCAGGTGCTGCTTTCTCCGTTTCTGTGAACATTTCCTCAGGTATTTTATGTTTTCCCCGACAAAGCAGAGTTTGCAGCCAAAGGGATCTGCCAGCAGGAAACGGGACCAGTGCTTCTGCAGCTCTGCTTTCACCTGAGGGGAGGAGAAAATAGTCACTGGTGATGGCATGTGGGCAGCCTGTAGTTCACTGACACTAATACTGGTTGTAAAATAAGAGCTTCCTGCCCCTTTGGGGTTTACCTTGCACCCTGTGCTTGGAGGGGAGGAACAGATTTGTTTGCTAAATCAATCTGAAGAGTTCAACCTCTTCACCCTGACTTAAGAAAGTTTTTCCTCTGCAAATGTGACATGTGAGAGTTCAAATGACTCCCCTGTTTACAGCCTGCTGCAGCAAGGAGGAGGAGGAGGAAAGCCCCGGGGTGTGGAAGCGAGGACCACGCAGCTTTACCAAGTTTTGTGCTGGTATAGCTGCTTTGTTTTGTTAAAACATTTATTGGCAGCCTAATGGAAATCCTCAGCACTGAGTGTCCCCCTGCCTGGGCTGCCCTCAGTTTCAGCTGTGACATTTCCCAGGTTCTGCACTGGTTCCTAACTCTGATCTCCACACAAAGTGTCAGCAAGGTCTCCTCACAGCTCAGGCACACACAACTGGAAATGGACCAGAACTGATCCAAGGGTGAAACTCCTGAGCCAGGGCCCATCCTGGGTGTACATGTTGCTGCCTAAGATAAAGAACTCCAAATGTGATCACTTCACGTGGAGCTCAGGGGTAAAGTCAGGGCTCAGCCTGACTGACCACACATTCTGGGGTTTGAGCTGGTTAAAGGGGGGGTTTCAGGTGACCCTAAACCTCCAATGGCATTTCAGACCCCCCAGGCTCCCCACATCTCCACAGTGCTATCACCACTCAGCCTTCCATGGAAAATCTTCGCATTTGAGTCCAAACCTGTGCTAGTTCTTGCTGTTCCCTTCACTCAAAACAATTTTACCAGCTCAGAAGAACACGTATGCTCTCAATAAGCAGAGCTGGTCAGTGTGTTCATCATCCTCAGTGCCATTAATGTACTTTACTAATGAACTAAAAACTTCTCTCACAGCATTGTGTCTTACCTCTCCATTAGCAAAGCAATAGAGAACTGCTACCAAAAAACCCTGTAAGAGAAAGGGAGTGAGAGAAAAAAGTCAGTGTGCAGGAAATACCTGAAGGTATAATTTAAATGTGACATTAGTGGTAAAACCATAAATATAAACAACTAAGTGTTGTTTAATGTTCAAAGTGTTCCTTAATGTTCAAAAAGGAAACTAGTTGCCTGCATTTATTTATTAATGAAGTACCCAGTCACTTGTTTTTGTGAAGGTCCTTGGCAAGTGCAAGGCACATTCTGTGCAGATGCTGAAGAACAGATTACAAAACCCAGTTTTATCTTCATTTTGCTACCCCATAATGTTTTTCTCCAAACTATTGCTGTTATACTGTGACTGCTGCTATTTCCAAATGTGGTAAAATGAAAAAGACACAGCTTGGTTTCTCATATTATCTGTATGCTTGGTTGTGAGTGATTCTCATTTGGGTTCTTTTTACAAATTATTTCTATATTAAGTGATTAGTGTTAGTTCAAAGTTCAGCTACACTGAGTGTTATGGCCATTTGGAATTGCTGTTTTTCCTTGGAAACTGATTTAGATAAAAACCTTAAAAAATCCTACAGATACAACTTGTTTTAAACCAACCCCCAAATTATTATTTCCATTTGCCTCTTTCTGTCTGTTTGATCTCAGGCTAAAGCAGATTACAGGCTGCATCTCAGCCCCACAGACATGCAGATTTATTCCCACTGCTTCAGGAAATGCCCTTTTTTGGTGTGTCTAAAGGCATCTGTGCCACAAGTTCCGATTAAGAGAATAAATACTCTGAGTCCCAAGGAAATATTTATATTGCAGCTAAAAAGGTGCAGTTCAGTTGACAGCATTCAGTTGTTCTCATATTTTTCCAGAAATGTTTCTGCTTTGCCCAGACATAAGTTTAAAATTAAATTCACATACACAGAAGCTTCAACTTTTTTCATTATATCTAGAATTAACCAATAGCGTTTTGAGCCTGCTGTTAATTTTCTAGCAGTCCTGAATTATTTAGAGCCATTAATTCCTTAAGCATATGTGTAGTTTATCTGCCACACCAGTGGAAATGGGGACAGGAGAAATAGCAAACAGAATTGCTTTCTCTATGTATTTTACTTCTCTCTTTTTTCATGCTTCACCTGGGTTATGGGAGGAAGATATAGTTAATTAGAGTTAATAATAGGTGATATTAAGTACAAATTGTAATATAATAATTACATCACAAATATATAATGTAGTTTCATTTAATATTTTAAATATTAAAATATCTTAGCATATATTATATTAAATAAAATTTGCTAGCTTAAAAAGCAACTTTTTATGCAGAACTTCTCCTGCTCCTGGAGGCAGTTCTCTTTTTTTGGGGGGGCAGAAAGTTCATGGTTCTGCTGGGTGGTTTTTTGTTATGAGTATGAACTCTTACATTTGGCCTCACAGGCACCTCAAGCAGAATCAGGATTTAAACACTCCTGAGCCTGGTGATAAGCACTGGGAAAGGCAGAGGCTCAGGAGCTGCCTGTGTGAACCTCCCTGGGCTGCTCTCAGTTTGTAAAAACCTCTGGGAATGTCGTTCACTGTCGCTGCAGGATCGGAGCAGGCGGTGACAAGCGCTGTGAAATCCCACCAGGAGCTGGAAGACTTCGCTGATTATTTATATTTGATGCTCACTTTATATCCTGGTTTCTTTCATGCTTGCTCATTTTTCTCCCAGTAAATTGATTTTCACACTTTGAAACCTTTCCAATGTGTTGTGACTTCTCCAACACACGTGTTCAGAATTATCCCAGTGTGAGTGAAAACGCAGAATCAGAAATTCAGAAGAAATGTTCATTAGCACCAGTAGGAAAGGACAGATGCACACGTAAGCCTCGCTGTTGTTCTTCAGTTCTAATGACAATTGTAATGTGATAAATTACTCATCAGATAACTGGGTTATCTCCACCAGAAACCAGTGGTTTTTTCCTGAGGGTAACAATTTCCATGCACAAGCGAGCCAAGATGTTTAGATTGTTCCATTTCCTAAAGCAAAGCAGCATCATACCTACAACACAACTCCTATTTAGAATTTAATTTTGTGCTCCTTGAAAATGTTTGAGTTAAACCTTCAGCTGAGATCCAGGGATAATTGTTTTTCTTTAACAAAACAGTTTAACTGCCTTTTAAAACTACTGAGAAGATTTACAGACTAAACAAATGTAATTGGGTACAGTTTATGTGCTTTTTGGCTAATCCCTTCATAAATAATGCTGCAGCTAAAAAACAGAATCTGCAATAAACATTGGCTAAGATCTCTGGGTATTTTTTAATGGAGCTTTGCTTCTAAAGCATGGCTTGCTGCCAAGCACATGCATGTTTCTCTAAAAGGAGTGAAGTTTGTGTTCTTTAGCAAGGATGAGTAAGCTGGTTTATATATCAGATTTCTTTGTACAAGCCAGTAAATAAAATCTTCACTTAAAATGATTCTGCACTTTTAAAATAACATCTAGGCACTGCAACCTCTCCAAGTAAGGCTATTTCTAACCAAGGAACCATTAAGCTCCCTTCCAACCCAAATAATTCTGGGATTTTGTGAACACCATGTCAGCAGGCTCCTTGGGGTTGTGGCTCTCCAGGAATTCTCTGCTGTCACTTGGGACATTTCTCCCCTCGAGCTGTGGTGGAAATTTTATATATTGAGTATAGCCTCAGTAACAGTGTCAAAACACTGCTGCATACATACACCAGAGCACAGGTGGATATATGCAAAGGTTAAAACCCAGGATCATCATAAATTGTGGGAAAAGTGCAGCAATGCTGGGATGGCTTTGTGCCTCAGGCTGCAGAACAGGGCAGCAGTGTCAGAGCAGTGAATCACTGAGGAGCTGCCACTTGGAGCCACAGAGATCACTGGGCTTTTCAGCAAATACAGATCTGGAAATTGCTGTCCTGGTGTCCCAGGGAGATCAGGGCAGGAAGATGTGGGTAAAGGACAGCTTTGCTGAGCAGGTTCATCAGTACTGTCTCAACAATCACTGAGCAGGCTGCAGAGCTCGAGACAGAGGCAGAGGCAATGTTTGTGCCAGTGCCCAGCTCTCTGGCCAGGCAGCCTGGAGAGCAGAGTCCCAGGGAAGCACACCCTGTGCTTGAGTGGCCACCAGAGAATCACCCCTGAGCTCCAGCAACAGCTCCCTCTGCAATCTGCACTAGGAGCTGGGTGTTTTATTGCAGTGGGGCTCCTTCACCCCCTCAGCCTTGCAGCTGAGCTCTCAGGGCAGCGTTCACATTCCCTTCCTCACCTCAGGCTTTTCCCACTCACCCCAAACTATGGCAGGGACATTGAAGAGGAGCCAAGTGCCTGAACATCTGTAAAATCCTCCTGACTGAGTGGGTGACAAATTTCCACCTGCATATGCTAGTCCATCCACGAGAGACATGATTTCTGTTCCATCCATGTGAGGGCTCTGACAAGTTTTCTCCTAAAACTAAAAACTGATGCAATGTACAGCACTTTTATGGGTGCACACCTGGGAGTCCACTGGGTCACTTTGCAGATAAGGTGAACAAATTTGGGAAAATGGAGCCCAAACCTTGGATGAGGCAGACATTCTCATGGTTATGATTTTGGCTGGGAGTGTTTTAAATGGACCATTTGAATCCTGTTTTCAGGGGCCTTTGATGAACTGTTACCTATTACAGAGGGCACCTCTTTTTCTGAAAATGTCTGACTCCTTTTTTTGATGTTTGGGACTATCATTTTTGAGTATGCAGTTTGTGAGTGTTTTATCTTGTTACTGCAGCAGAGTATTTGGAGACATTGTAGGTTGGGATACAATATTAAATTAAAATTCACTATAACTGTGGTGAGCAGAAAATGCACATGGATCTATGAAAACAATGCTTGCAAAACAGTACTTACATGAAATGAGCTCATTGTCAGCTGAATGAAAAGTCTTATATGTCTTGAAAGTCCTTCCACCTGTTCATCAGTGATGAAGGTAAATACAAATTCATGGATCCCCAGCAATGGGATCAGCACAAGTGTAGATCTTGCCAATCTTAAAAAGAAAATGATTGTTGTATTTTTAAACATTCTTGGTGCCAAAAAACAAAAACTCAAAGAAATTATTCCAAAAACTTGGCCTCAGTATTCTGACTTTGGAATGGTAGGAGCAGTTTTGTGAATTATTTTGAGAATAATGTGTGCATAAATCTGTGGAAAGTGTAGTTAAAAGGCACGTGTAAATGAAGTGTTTTCCATGGCACATCCATGGAATAAAGTAATGCCTGACTCTCCATACAAAGATAGTGCTAGAGGGCTTTTCTTTTTCTTCCCAAATTTCAGTGACAAAGAGAAAAATGTGTCACAAAAATGTGTCACTGCAGCAGAGGGCACAGGTGAGAGAGGAGATACCTGGGACCAGAGATCTCACTGCCCTGAAAAGCCTTTGTGAAAATGCCCCCAAAGCTCAGCACACAGGTGCTGACTGCCTTTGCCTCTCAGACAGGGAAATGTCTGCAGAGCCTGAGTCCCCATTCTGAATATCTATTAAGAATATTCATCATATTCTGAATATCTATTCAGAATATATCTATTTCCCACATTCTGAATATTTATTACACCTGGTGGTGGTAGGTACATCTTCAGGGAAAACTGAAAAGTTTTTGATGTGACAAAATTTTTAAAAAGAGGCCAGAACTTCTGTGTCATTTGTTACATACCTGTATTTGTAGTCATGAAAACTCATTTGCTGAGCTTTTAGTTTGGAAATCAGCATTCTGAGAATTTTTAAGAAGATGCCAAAGTTAACCTTGAAGGAAAATACATATGGTTTACTTACTGCAAATGTTATGACACTAATCAGTTAAATAAATGTATAATTGATATTAAACACTTGCAAAACCTGCCACCAAATAACTGGAATGCAGCTGGGATGAGGTTGGAATACAAGCAGGTTATTTTCACATACTAAACATGCAAAGTTGAGTAACTTAGCATTGCCTTATTCAGGTTGACATATAATTTGATACATGATCCTTCAGTACAAAATTACATTTCAATTTTTTAATACAGAACCCTGCTTCCTCATTTTTTGAACAAAGCTTTATCTCTTCTGTCACTTTATGTCTCCCATGATATTTCTGTGGTCTTATTTGTTCCAAAATTTTGAAGGACAAAAATGGCACTAATTACAAAGACCAAGGAGGGATAAAAAATACAGGTTATAGAATTCTTACTGCAATGGAAAACAACATTGGTCCTCGGATGATCCACCAGATCCCCATGTGTTCATTTGTTCCCCAGCACCTGGAGAATAATTTAAAATATAATTACTTTCATAGAAAAAAAAAATGTTAAAATGCTCACATAACTTGTGTATGTATTTCAAAAGGAACTTGGTGAAGTTCAATTTTTTCAGGTGGTCCCCAAAATAAATGGAATAAAACTAGGAAGAGTTTCACCAACAACTCTGAAGATCTTTCCACATCAATGCTGATAAAGGTTTCCCTAGACCATAAACTTCTGAACTGTCTGGCAAACTCCTTGAATCCACAAAACATGACACCAAACCCTCATAATGGAACTAATCCTACTTAAATTATCTGTCTGAAACTAGAGACTGGAAATGAGTAAACTGGGAATTGTGACCATGCTTCTTGATCTGCTAAAAAATATGCATACTGTTTCCTTGAAGCTGTCTGTTTTTCTCCTGTTTTAACCTTCTGATTTGTCCTATTTCTGCTTGCTGATTAGCCTGAGGTTCTGTGGGATCTTGGCTTGTCATTTACAATTTATAAGACATCTGACTCTGTAAGACCATAATTATGGTTTGGATGTTGCTTATTATCCATGTTGGCGTTGCAAATAAAATTCTCTAGAAACCACAAAAAGTAAGAGGAGAACAAAAGATTCCATAGATAAAGCACAAAGTTTATGTGATGTCACCAGCAGCATCCCTGGAGACCAGACACTGGTGCTTGCCAGTGCGTGCTGCTGTCCCTGATGCCCTCACCAAATACCAGCTCTCTGTGACTTCCAGGTTTTGTCATGAGCCTCCATTACAATTCATTTTTTTTCTTAAAAAAGTGGCAGTGAATCCAAATTGAACTCAAAGTCTCCAAGGAAAACACTGGTCTCTTCTCTGATGGATGCTCTCCATGAAGGTCTTGGTGCACACAATGTGCTTTATGTAAATGGATGAACATTTCAGGAGCAGTGTAAATTCATTCTACTCTTTGCTAAAATGCATAAGTAAATATGAGGATTCCTTTTTAAGGAAAGTTTTTTAATGTAAAAGTACTAAAGGGAACCTTGAAAATGTAACAAGTATCAATAGGTGCTGTATAATCTGATAATTTGCTGCTCAGTTCTTGTGTCAAGTACTGCCAAGGGCTTTCAGCCAAGCAAGCAGAAAGTCAGGATTCCAAAGAACATTTTATTTAATAACCTACCCTGTGTTCTCCAGTTTGGATCTGCTTATTCCCCAAGGGCCCACAAACAGGATTGGAACAACTGAAAAGAAAAGAAGAGTCTATTCCAGCCAAGCTTGTAGAAATGTGTGGTGAAAAGATTTCTACTTTTCAGTTTTCTTTTCAGAACGGTACAAAAATCAACTTCATCCTGGTTTTCCCCATTTGAATTTGTAGTTCAAACACAAAATTATTTTTCGTGGTATAGTTGAATCTTGCATTTTCAGACTGATGAATACATTCACACATGAGCACACTCCTGATCTGCTGAAATCTCAATTTCTGACCCTGAGAACTCAAACTGGCACTCAAGGCCTCACAAACCACCCTGGGCACAGTTGTTGAATTTTAAAGGAGTTTTCAGTGAAGGCATGGAATGCTGCCTGGATATTGAAACAGCTGACAAAGGATTGTTGTCCTGGACCCCTCCAAGAGAATCCAAATCCCCTCCTTGTTGCCCCCAGCCCTTCCTGGAGATCACAGACTGCAGGCTGAAAACAAAACCCCTGAAGGATTTCTGCAATATTCCAATGGACTAAAGCACAAATCTCAAATCATCAGCTACAACAAGGAATGTTCCACTGAATTCTCAACCCAGTAACACACAGGGGATTTTCTGGTGGAAGTGGAAGAAATCAGAGCTGTGGGTCCAGAGCAGGGATATTCAGGATTCTGGGACTCTGAGGTCATGGAGAAAGCTGGAGTGTGGCAACACAGAGAAAGGGCCAGAAACAAAATACTCCCCAAGAGAATAGATTTGTGAGTAGGTCAAAGGGGGAAAGAGATAAAAGGGGTCTCACTTGGGTGGGAGATGGTGCAAAGAGAGGGTCTGCAGGAACACCTGGGGCATGGGGAACAGAACAGAACTCAGATCCAGGGGGATTTGAGGAGGTCCCATGAGGAAAGGTGACACCAGGATGAGGAGGGGGCGATGTCAAATGCAGCTCCTGTGCAGCAGCTGAGGAAATGGCAGTGTGAGCCCTGGGCCAGGGGTACTACAAATGGCTGTAAGACATGTCCCATCTTAGCAGGGATTGTAATAAATAGAAATAAAAAGTAAAGCTAATTTGTGGGGAAAGCCTTTAGAAAACTGGTGAATGTGAAGTGACCAATGGATGAGGAACAACAGGAAAATAATCATTATTATTATTAACACTCTTCTGATAAGGAGGAAATTTCCTAACAGAACTTGTCCCCTGCAGTTTGAAGAAGGAATGAAATTACTGATTCCTGTTCCCACAAGCTGGTGATCAAAGCAACAAGGGGATTTAGAGATAATGAAAGAATAAAACAACACCAAACAGCACAAAAAGCAGTGCTCTTGGTGCATCAGCAACCTGTGGGCTCATAGAGCCAAGGGTCCTTTAAAGAGGAACATGAGAGGGAGCAGAGAAATCCAGGACCCCCCAAAGGAATTACCTTTAAATTGTCTTTATTTCATAGATAATGCCTGAAGTGTAAGACCTGGCTCATGCAGTGTTTCAGATTGTCTCCCAACCTAAAGCACACCTGAGAACTTTCAGGTGAGCTGGGAAGGGGAGCATTTAAGTGAAAATTGCTAATGATTTTTGCTGTAGAGGTTCTCTATTACAAAGGGAGGAAATGAAGGTGCTAGTAGCACCATAATATTCAGTGATGACAATATAGAGCCTAATATAAGGAAATTTCTTCTTCTGCCCACCAGGCATCTGTTTTCTTATGAAACAATTCCCTGATTTCCTGCTCCAGCTGAACTGCAGCCAATGAACCACTGCTGACATATCTCCATTTACAATTGCTGGCTAAGAAACTAATGAATAGAACAGAATTCAGATTTATTTTTTTTCCCCTCCACTGACTCAGCAAAGCACCACATAATCAGTGCTTGGAAACAGATCTGGACTTACCCCATCCTATCACGATGTATGTCTGTAGCAGTCGTCTTTCAGAGAGCACCACAGTTATCAATAATGTATGCAGATAAATCCCTTCTACTAAAAGCCAGAAGTAATTTGCCCCAACAAAGTAATGCATGAAAAACTGGGCAGTCCTGCAAATGATTACAGTCTGTGGGGACGAGAGACGAGGAGTCACTGCAAATATAGATGTCATGATCTGCATGTGAGAGTTTTTATTGATGAGCTGTTAAAATAATAGTCATTAACATCTTGCAGGTAATTTCCCTTGTTGACATGGGCAAGCTGCATTCCCACAACAATGTACAAGAATAATTTATTCACAGTGGTGACAAATGAGATGTAAATAAATGCCAAATAAAATCAGAGATTTCTTTCTAAAGGCTGCAAGGTGTGAGTTGTTTTGCTTAAGTGGCTGTTTCAGAACATTACAATCAATTAATATGTTCTTTCTATTCACTTAAAATAAATCTCTTACAATCAGGATTTCATCTTGATTATCCCAACTTTTATCCATAAAAGCTCAGCATCCAAAGCTCAATTCACAAACACCTCAACACTTGATTCTGTAGGGCAAATTTCCAAAACTGTGACTGTTCTGATCACTAGAAGCACACATTCACTATTAGCTATGAACTCCCACGTTACCTCTGGACTCAGGTATAATATCCATCCAGTTTCATCATTTGGCCTTTTTGAGTAAATATTGTAGTACACAGAGTCTTTTATAAGAACTGCTGCTGCACGCAAGATAAAGGATGCAAATAAATTCATATGGATGTAGTTTCTTGTGCAGTGAAGTTTTCTGTGGGAGAAGATAATAGTGAATGAATCCTCTGGAACAGATCTAATTTGCAGAAATAAAAATCTTTAAAAACCAGCAGAAACCCAGCAAAACAGCTGTTGCATTCTTATTGTTGCCATCGATGGATTCTGCTTAGAAATTGCATTTGTATTGCTCCTTAGCAAAATACAAGTTATTCCCATGGAATCAACAGGGCAGTTTGGGTTGGAAAGGATCTTAAGGCCCATCTCATTCTATCCCTCCTGCCATGGGCAAGGACACCTTGCCCTAGATCAGAGTGCTCCAAGGCCCATCCAGCTTGGCCTGAAAATCTTCCAGGAGTGGGGCAGTTTCTCTGGATGACCTGTGCCAGGGCCTCACAGTAAAGAATTTCTACCTAATATCTACTCTAAATCTACCATCTTCAGCTTAAAGCCATTCCCCCTTGTCCTATCACTCCATTCCCTTGTCCAAAGCTCATCCCCAGCTTTTTTGTAGCCCCTTCAGGTACTGGAAGTCACTGGAACACTGGAAACTAAAGAAAAAAATCAATTTCATAAAAAGAAGAATATGAATACAGGGCTCTGTACATTTAAAATGCATGTAAATTTATACTAACCTGAGTAAAGAAAGTATAAATAGAGCCAATACCAGTGAGATGAGAGAAAAATAATATCCTACAGTGTATAGCAGCTGTAATGTGGTGAGGAGTTTATGTTCTTCTTCCTGGGAACAAAGAAAAATATGTTATGTAGCAGAGGGACAGAGCAGAAACACAGCTCAGAAACTTTGGGGGTCGCCTTCTTTGAGTTTCAAGGAGCCAGGGCAGGATCCTGAGCTCTCTGCACTGCCTTTTGAAATCAGTCTATGACAGAGACACTTGCAGCCAGAATTCCTATTTAAATACAAAGGCACTCCCAGGATATTCCCAATTTCCCTGGCACAAACACCATTGGCAGTCCAAACCACAGCTGAGCCTTGCTGTGACTCCAGGGTGGGTTAAAAGCTGCAGAGATGAGCTCAGTGAACCTGCACACACCAGGGTGTGTGGCCTGCAGACAGCCACTACCAGCTGTGGCTGAACAGCTCTGAGAGTCAGCTCTGACTGACTTTCCTCCTGAGTTCAAAGGAAAACAAATAATTATTAAATTAGAGCTGTCCTGAATGTCTTTGAATGACAAATAAGACCTCAGAGGAGGAAGGGAACTACCCCACTTTCACAGATTATCATGGCACATCCTGAGCTGAAAAGTACCCACAAGGATTGTTGGACTCCAGCTCCTGGCCCTGCACCAATTTCCTTCCAGTTTGCCTAATTTAACATTTCTTTCTCCTAAGTTTTTTTCTGTTTTAGTTGCTTATGTCTACCTCTCAACTATTCAAACTTCTAGCCTAAGGAAAGCATCTCTGAAGAGGGAATGAGATCCAGGATCTGTAGCTTTCATAACCCCTATCTGGCCAACAGAGATTTTCTTGGAACCTGTGTCTTTTCCTCACTGAATTTGCTGTTTTTCTTGTTCTACTACTCAGCACCAGGGACTTCAGCACTGCCTTCCTGCCAGCAGTTTTCTGTAATAATTTGGTGCTTGTGAGCCAAACCTCTCTTGAAGGGGGTGAAAGTGCCCAGGGAAAGCAGGAGATTGCCAGCTGTCAGTCCCTCTGCTCCATGGAAATATCCCAGCAGGTAAAAACCTTGTAAGAATCTCAAGTTATCATCTTGGCTATTTCAATTTTGCAGCACCAAAGCACATGAAACCATGCTGATTCCTCTGATGTGTGAAGATACAGGCTCTGGGTTATTTCCAACATCTTGGGGGGTTTCAATTATATAAAACAAACAGGTACAAGCCCACATTTAGTGTTGGTAGGAAAACTGGCTACAGCTTTCAAAGAAGTTGCCTGCTGTCACACAAGATGAAATAATGTCTTGCAGAAACAAATATGCTATCCAGAATGGTCAACAAACCATGGAAAACACTCAGAACTTATGAATATTTATTACATTTGCATAAATAAACTGAAAGTTTGGAAATCCATGTACTTACTATATAAAGAGCTCAGTAAAAATTAGCAATACACAGAGATACTAAACTAATAATGTTTCATAACTAATCAGTAAAGCAGTGGTACTTGATAAAGTGAAAAACAGCACTCAGTCAGTATTAAAAAGGTCAAAAATAATGGTAATAGTGCTTACCTAAGAGACCTAATTCTGACATCTGCTAGGCTGAACTCCATGGCAAAAGAAGTTTGGCTGACAAAGTCCAGCCCCTGGCCTGATGCAATATGAGAAATACAGGAAGGATGGCGTTAGGTGAGGGTGAATCCCCCAGTCTCTGACCAGCCAACTTTGAAATAACCAATTAACAGCTCATGAAATGCTGCAAGGCTCAGAAGGGAAGTTGTCTGACTTTGACAGACTAATGTGATTTGGGAGATAATTGCTTGACAAGTTGCAGTGTTTTTTTTCTATTTTATTAAGACAAAATCAGCACATGTGAACACTGGACTCTGAACAGAAAATAACTTGTGGCATCTAAAGCAGGAATCCCCTTTTTTAATATTTTCTCTTCTGCTTCTTATAAATAAAATAACAGCTTTCCATTTGGTAATTTAAATGAAATTTGAAGATCTTTTGCAAGTATTAAATGGAAATGTTTTGTCAGTTACTCAGGAAAGGATTAAGAAGATTAAAGTTTTCAACCATAATATAAAACATACTTACATTTTTTTGGAAATGATTTTTCTCAGAACATTCTGAACTATCCCGCCAAATGTCTGTGGAATTTTCCTTTGTTTGCCAAATCCCTTCATCCAAGCAGACTCTGTATACATGTCCTACACTTCCTGAAAGTAAACAGAGTTTTGGTTTGAAAGGTCAAAACAGAGATTTCATTTTTCATACACATCTGAAAGATTTCTGCCTTACACCTCCACAATAGACTCCACACCATCCATACTCAAAAAAAATAATAAAACCCACTTTTCTTTTGCCTTTGTCAATACATTTTTTATATTGACATAGGACAAAGTGGGAATGTAGTCCAGCATAAAGAAATTCCCAAAATGTACCTGGCTTTTACAAGAAAACCCATGCAGTACAGCCAAAACATAAGCCCACCTCTCACTTTATTAATTTTTCCTCGTTAAGCTCATGAATGGGTAATTCATTGAGCAGGATTTGGGTGGGGAATGCTCTTTCTCCTGATGCTGCAGGCTGGAGTTTCATTTCTGTGCTCTGGGCCCCTGCAGCAGGTGGGGTGAACTGATGAAGATTTCTTGGTTTTCCTGCATTATCCCAATTTATCCTAATTAGGAATTTGCCCAGAGCATCAGAGGAATGGTGTGAGGACCCTGGGTTGTGTTTGATGTTGTCCTTAACAGCTGCCATCTGTTTATTTCTAATCAGACCTGAGCTTTTCCAATCATTTTTGGGTTGAAGCGTTTAAGGGTGGTGGCAACAACCAGAATATCTTGTTTTGCTCAGCTCAGAGCTGGGAGAATTGCTTTGGGAGCACAGTTTGTTGTGATGGAGCGGGATAATATGAACACTAGACACTGGAAAAAACCTTAAACCATCCATGAAATGCCATCAGAAATTTTGCTTTTGTAGAAATTCAGACAGAAAAAAAGTCTCCATTCCATGGAGGCAAGATGCTTTTGTTTATTATGAAGAGCTGGGTGTGTTCTGAATGGCTGGCAGAACAAGTTGGGGAGATCAGATAGAAACTTGGTGTCTTACTGCTTATTAGCATCAAAATTATTTATAAAATTGTTATATTTATAAATATAAAATACATTCTATATAAAAATATGTATTATACATCTATTTTAATATATAATATATATAATCTAATATATAACATATAAAATACATATAATTTTAGTATATATAATATAATATTTTATTATATATAATATAACGAGTTTTATATATTTATATATAATATATATAATTTTAAAATATTTTATAATATATGTAATATAAAATAGATTATATTTATAAAATGGATTATCTAATTATTATATTAGATTACATTATATCATATCTTATATCTTATATATACGATATATTATATTTTATATTATATATTACATATTATATATTATATTATCTATTATATATTGTCTATTATATATAATATATATTTTCTATTTTATATTTTATATTTTTATTATATATTATTTATTATATATTATATAACATAGTAAATGTATAATTATATTTAATATAATATATTATTTTTATATAATATATAATTATATTTAATATAAATATTATATTAATATGAATATAATATTAATATAAGAATAAATATTAATATAAATATAATTAAAGAACAAACCATGTGTGGTTTGGGCTGCAGAAAGCTGGGATAAGCAGCTGACAGTAGTCTCCCATAAATTAAAGGACTTGGGCAGAACTGGTCCCTCCAAGGGGAATTAGAAAAGCAGCTCAGAAAGGGAATTTAGCAGGATTCAGAAATGCTGCCCTGTGGTGATAGCAGCCCCCTTTCATTCCTTCATGGGAATCTTGTTTGGTCTTCAACACTTTTGCTCCTGGAGGTGATTTTTTCCCCGTTCCCGAGAGGCTCCCACTGCATTCCCTGCAGGAAAGGGAGGCTTGGGAGGCTGCTCTGCTCCCCACTCGCTGCTGCTCTGCTGCTCCCGCTCTCCTGCGCCGAGTTTGGCTCTTCCAGCTCTCTGGAATCGGGGCTGGGACCAGCAGGGACCCCAGAAACTAAACCCTGAGTCTTTTACTCTGAATAAACCCTGGCAGCGTGGTCCTGTGACCTTGCAAATGCTCCTTTACAGCAGAAAATACAGAGCTGTGGCAAGCACAGATGGAGAAAAAGAGCAAAAAACTTCGAAAATCATTTTGTGCCTCAGTTGAGAAGTGGTAGAAAGAGGTGAGACTTTTCCTCACTTCAGAGGACACTGAATTCCTTTAGCTGAATTCCTGGCACAAACTCCAAGACAAGGTACCACTTTCACGTTACCATTTTCCAGCCATGGCAAATACGAAGGACAAGGGACAGAGACATTTCCTGGGGGTGAGTAAGGCCAGCAAACAAACTGATCAAATGTCCCATTGCAGTGTATTCCTGGGGAGAGAAACAAATACAAGTTTTACAAAAAGCTGTCCAGACAATGGACAATCATGGAAACCATTCCAGGTAACCTGCAAGCTCCTCCAGAGTAACAAGATGTTGCAGATAAATGTTGTGTATTCACTGTGCTCCATGCACAGCACAGAAACAGGAGCTGCCCTTCTGCCCTGACTTCACTCATCACCTGAAGGCTTCACACTCCCCACTAAGGTTATTGCCTAAAATCACAAGGGAGCTCACCAGGGTCTGCAGATTCCTTCTGAGGGACAGCACAGGGACAGCTCCAACCTCTGCTCTGTGACAGTGGCAGAATCCAGGGAATGGCTGGAGCTGGGCCAGGGGAGGTTTGGGTTGGATTTTAGGGAAAGGTTCTTCCCCCAGAGGGTGCTGGCGCTGGCCAGGCTCCCCAGGGAATTGTGACATTCCCAAGGCTGCCAGAGCTCCAGGAGAGCTTGGCTCCCAGGGATGCCCAGGGTGGGATTGTCGGGGGGTCTGTGCAGGGACAGGGACTGCACCGGGTGATCCTTGTGGATCCTTCCAGCTCAGGGTGTTCTGTGGTTCTGTGATTTGATGATTGTATGATCCTCAGGCCTCTGTGATCCAAATGTAAGAGTCAGATCCCAGCCATGCTGTCCCTCACTGGGTTTGGTGCATGCAGCAGATGGGTAAATGGAATATATTCCACCTTTCCACCCCTGTGACACCAGTTCTCATCTCCCACCGCCTCTGTCACTCTCTCACAGTGACCCCTTTTAGGCTTTGGGCAATATCTCTTATTCCCAGAGATATTACCAGAGGTTATACCTCTGGTAATATCTCAGAGTAACTCAGTTTTAATCTTCACAGTTATCACATCACACACAGACTGGAGGTTAAAATAAAACATTGGAAAATGAAGAATTGAAATGGTGCAGGCAGGTGACAGCAACATAAAATAACATAAAATACATTAATGGCTGCCCTAGTGTCTTCGTTGGTTTCTGTCTTTCTTTTAAGATAACACCAAAGTTCTCTCTTAACTATAATGTTTTTGCTCATCCTAAACCAGAAGGGAATATCCCACTTTATTTTCCATAGTGCTTAGTAATACTTTGAGAAAATTGTGTAGATAAAGCACACAGGGAGCAATAAAGATAGCTCTGTGCTCTCTCACCAGCATCTTTTTGGGGTGCTTCTGCTAAAATGCAGAGCACAGGATGTACATTCCTACTCATTCTGCTGTACCTTTGAGGCTGAGCATCTGTGTTATGATCCATGCAGCTGTAGGCATTTAGAAAGGCATTTTTATTGTTCTTTACCCCAATTTCTGTTTGTTCAAGTGTGGACTGGGGAGGCTGCCAGGAGAAAAAATACCTATATTTTTTTTATTTTTAATTTTTTTAAGTTCATGAAAGCTGAAGTTCTGAGTCCCTGTAGTTCTCTAGATCACCCACTAAAAACTACTGCCCTCTAGTACCTTGCTGGGTCACCTGGCTTAGTTCTAATTGCCACCAAAGCCATCATTCTCTGCTTTCTTGGCAAAAGACATTGTTCTTTTGCATCATGCTAATGTTTCCTGCACACCAGGTGCTCACCACAGGCTGTTGACTTCCAGCTGCTCTCTACTGTTCCTTTCTTCCCTGTCAGCATTAGCTGTAAGCCATCCTGCAGGTGTACTGGCTGGGCTGATGGATGATTTGCTTTCCCTGCTTCCCATAAAATTTTGGTCCCCTCTGCAATCCTCATCACTGTTGTTCCTTGACTGTAGTCACACAGTCAGTCACTTATGGAAGCTTCTTTTCTCTGGATTTCTGTGGTTTCCCCTTCACTGTTTTCCACAAATGGCTCTGACTTCTGACCCCTCCCAGTTTGGAGTCACCAACAAATTTGGGGAGGGTGCTTTCAACGCCTGCCTATAGCCAGTGAGTCCAAAACAGAGAGCACAAATTCACTTTTCATCTTTCCTTGGTGAACAGCAGCCACACCTTGGGCTTCTCCAGCTGCTCACACCAAAACTGTGCCATCCTCTCCAGGAGACAGACACCTAGCTGGGCAGAGTTTATACATTTAGGAGTATATAATTTTACATTTATACATTTAGGAGTGAAATAATGATGGATTATGAAGTCCCCTTTAGGCAAACAGCAGAAAACTTTGAGCACCCAGTCAAAGGAGGGAGGTGTGAATTCAGGAGGAGACACTCTAGGTGTGCTGCTCTTCATCTAAGCATCCAAAACCACAGAGAAAGGAAAAGAAACAAGGGACTTTAGGCTAATATTTGTGTCAGGTGAATTGTTTACATTTAGAACTTAGGAACAGACATACAGCAAGACAATATCTGTACATTCATCATTGTTACTCAGTAAATGTTTCATTGTTTAATTCCTTACCACTGTCTACAGATGATTCCTGCAGCATTTTCAAGCATTCCTGTTTATATTTGTTCCATCCAGTAGTGGTTTTTTCCAGCAGAGAACCTTTGGCCTGGGAGTGAAAATACTGTACAGGAGAAAAATCAGTTAGAATATTTTAGTCCTTAATGACAAGTTTCTTTCTATTTTAAGAAATTCTGGTCTGAGCACAGAAATAAGGAGAGAAGAGGAAAGGAGAGGAGAATGGAGGAATGGTAGGTGAAAAAGGTTTAAAGGGCTTTTTGGTTTTAGAATGTTTTTGAAGATAATCAAGCACACCTGGTTGAGTAGTATAGGAAAAAAAACCACAAAATTGAACAAAATAGGAATGAATAAGCAATGTTATTTAGGTACTAACACCTCTGGTGCATTCTGTACTCCACCCCAGCATTTCACAGACCACTTAGTTTACCAGTAATTGCAACTGTGCCATTGACACCTTTCTAGTCTGCTTTTTATTTTTTATTTTTTTAAGAAACACTTTTGTACATTTTAGTTTAACTTGCTCATTTACAGCGTGTTGCCCTTTCTACCTCAATAGATCACCACTTTACTTTCTTCTTGTGTCCAGAGGTGAGAAGAGTCTTCACCCTCTAGATTTCCCACATAATAAAATGACAGAATAATATCCAACAGAACAACATGTGGGCTGTGAACTTCACTTTTTGTTCCTTTAAACCTATGGTTTGTTTTTTATTTTAATGCAGAAAATCATATTTATTTACTTTCAAAACAAGAACAGCTAGCTCTTATGCAGGATCACCATTTCATGCATTTTTACTGTGTAAAATGTTGCCTGCTCAATACTCTGCTTTTAGTCTCTCAGCTAATTTCCAGACACCCCACTTTAAGCCTGAGGGATTTGAAAGGCTATAATCATTCTTCCCTGGATGGGCTTGCAAGATAAGGAGAGAATATTTACAGCAGCCATGAGAAAGGAATGCATGTTTCCAAAATAAAAAAGCATCTTGACATTTCCCTCATGCAGGCCTCAAAATGTTGGGAGCCAGGGGAGATTCTCCAGACACTTGTGGGTCAGTGAACCTGATTTGAAGAGGCAGAGACATGGAGATGACGCATTTGTGGACAGGACTGCTCGGCTGAAGGAAGAACACTCCGGTTTCTGATAAACAAATGTGCTCAACAGCCAAGGAAATAGAAAGGAAAGTTTGCAGTGGCTACCTGGCAGCTTGGCTGGTCCCACTCCATCAACCAAGAGCTGGAGACACAGCCATGGAAAAGTTCACTGGGCAAGAGTGAGGAGCAGGTTAGGCCTAAATGACAATTCCACATCACTGCCTGATGGAATTGTCCATTCCCTCAAGCCTGCAGGCACGGTCACACTGGTCACTGTCAATGTAAATACTGTGAGTTAAATTTGTTTTGGTCACACAGCCCATACCTGGTCACTGTCAATGTAAATACTGTGAGATAAATTTGTTTTCTACCATAAAATTTTTCTGTGAAAAAAAATCAAGTCTGCACAGAATCAAAGCTGCAGCTTCCCCCAAAAAAAAAGTTAAGAGCTGTCAGCTCTTATTTTTATTTTATATTTTTATAATATATAATATATTATATGATATAATATAATATCATATCATATCATATCATATCTGATATATTATATATAATATATTTATATATAATACATATTTGATATATATTTAAAATATTAATTTTAAATATAGTTAGAAGGACATATTTTAAAAATTTAAATTATTAATCAAAACAAAACATTTCACAGAGTAGCTGTGGCTGCCCCAAGTGTCCTTAATGGTTGATCTAAAAGACTAAGAAATCCCCTTAGGTTTATGTTTCAAAGAAATAATAAACATATATTCAACAGCAAAAGATAAATTGAATGGCAGCAGCTTGTGAATTGATTATCAGATACTTATGGAGAGACTACCAACAAAAATAGGCTGAAGAAAGCAATCCTGCTGTTTGTACATGACTATTCAAGGTGCTGGGGTCTGCACCCTGGGAAAAGGCCAGAAATACAGAGAAAGGCTGAGGAATGCTGGCAGTGCCTGGGAATGGGGAAAATCAGTTTCCATTCCCTTCTTGGTTTGAAAGGGTTTGATGCAGGTGCCCCAGGGAGGAGATTTCAGTCTTTTCTGCAGTGGGACATCCTGTTAAGGCCTTTCTGTATGAGCTGTGTGTTTATAGAGTTATTTACCATCCTGTGAGGGTCAGAGGATGTCCCAGGATACGCAGGGATCCCCCAGTCAGCTCCTGGCCCTGCACAGACCCCCAAGAACCCCACCCTGTCCTGAGGGCTCTGTCCCAGCACTCCTGGAGCAGCCTCAGGGCTGTGTCTGTTCCCTGGGGAGCCTGGGCACTGCTCAAACTCCTTCTGGCTGGAAATCTCTCCTGATATCCAACCCAAACCTCCCCTGACCCGGGTTCATGCCATTCCCCCTGGGACATGGGTCACAGAAGGAGGATTTTGATACCTCTGAGCTGCCACTTGAAGGCAAAGCAAGCAGACTGGGAATAAGGAAAAATGATGTTCTGTGTTTCAGTGAAAAGGAGTCAATGAAAGGTCAGAGGCAGGCCTGCCTCGGTGTCCTGCCATCCATGGCTCCTCAGAGAGGGGCACAGGGTCTCTGAGGAAGAGGGTGGTCTCTAGTGTGGGTCAGTGTGAGGAGCACAGCGATCACTGCTGCACTGTGCAGGCTTTCCTGTTGGAGAAGGCCAAGTGACAGAAGAACAGAATTACACAATGGTTTGGAAGGAACCTTAAAGACAAGAAAGATCTTGTTCCATGGGCAGGGACACCTTCCACGATGCCAGGTTGCTCCAGGCCCTGTCCAAGCCGGCCTTGAGGACTCGCAGGGCTGGGCCCTGTGTGCTGAGAGGAGCCAACAAACTCCTCTGTGCAGCTGGCACAGGCTGTGACTGCACACCCCAGGAAAGCTCCGTGATGATCCAAACTTGGCTTAGACACAGTGCAACTTCCATGGTACAAATACAAACTTCCAGGGAAATTTCCCATGATCTCAACCAGTGGGAGCACACAGCTTTTGATCTGTTGAACCTTTCAGCTGCCATTCGGCCGCTGCTTTTAAACAGCGACTTCTGACTCGGGAAAATCAAACTCAGACAGAAACTCGGCAACTCTGTGATCTCTTGTCCTCCACTGGACACAATTTCATGTTGTCTGAAGTTTTTTGGTAAAAAAGGAACTGCCTCAGCCTGCCAGCCTGTCCCCTGCTTGCTCTGAAGTTCATCCATGAGGAAATTTAATGAAGATTCCCTGGAAGTGTCTGGCCATTTATTTAGGTTGCACCAAGAAGACACCACTCTTTAAAAATTTGAGTTGGATGCAGAAGAAAATGCTGCTGGAAGCTTTCATTTAGGAAATGGATTCTATTTGGTTGCAGAGAGGTTTAAATTTAAGTTTTTCATAACTGATCACAGTATAGTCAGAATTTCACCCTTTTAATTTTTTTTATACTAAGCTAGCAGTGAAATGAAATGCTCCTGTTTATTCAGTGTGCTCTCATGGACAGAAAAAAGCCCCTTCAATTTAGGCATAAACTAAAAATAAATGCTGAAAAATATTTATTCATTCTTTCAGCCATGATCCAGGTTTAGTCTGATGGATATTTTCCTAGCTATAGATGTTTTTGCTAGAAAATACAGATATAGTGATTTATGGCTGTTATTCCTTTAAATGTTTCTTTCATAAGAAATACAGCTCGTATTTCTTTAAACAATTTGCAAGAACCACTATGACAATTTAATTCACTGTGATTAGTCTAGCAAAGGTTTGATCTCACAGAAGTATTTGGGAGATTTTCTGTTAGCACTGATGGAACTAATGCATTGGCTGAGGTGTCTCACAAATCTGAGAGTTTCAGTTCTAGAAACAAAAGCTCTAAGCAGAGAAACTCCAGATTTGAATTATATGAAATTATTAGGAATATTTTATTTAAAAAAAAAAAAAGAAAAGAAAAAGAAAAAAAGTATTGATATCCTCAATTTTTTCTTCATAAAAATGTTAGAAACACAGATGTGTTGGCAGCATGCAGCTGTAAACCCACTTTCTTAGAAACCCAAGAAAATGGAGATTAAGTGGATAGAAATACCTTTTTGTTTTCAGTTTATTGTCTTGATGCACATACACATCATAGAAATGTACCCTAAATAGATGTGTGAATATTAGTTAAATTGAAATTTACCAAATGTCAGTAATTGTTTTAAAAATTTATTCAAATTAAGATTGATATTAATAAATAAATAGGGATTCCTAAAAATCTAAATCCCAAAAATCTACATGAAAATTTCCTTGAAGTGAATTACACCGAGATATTTTCTCATTAAACCTATACCCATTCTAAATTATAAGGTAAGTAAGAAGTAAGCATTTCAAATTTTGTAAAGATTTAGGGGAAAAAATAAAAATAAAATGGTTTAATGGACCTCTACAAGAAATAAAGGCAGAAATCTCATACAGATTTATTTGCTTTCTGTGTGAAGGTGAGGTGCAGGATTCAATGCTCACAAGTCAGAGGCTAAAAGTTGTGCCAGAAACAAATCAAAGCTGGATTTAGAACAGAGAAAAAAACAGTAGAAAAGAAATGTGATTCATAATAGTATTTTTATCTGGTAGGAAAACTGAACAAAAAAATATAATTCAATATCAATCAATACTGGTATGAAAAGTGATTGTGTAAATTGTTGTAAATATAATTTATTCACTGTATGAATGAGGATTAATAGAATAAAATTGTAATAAATGTCCTAGCCAGAGAGAGTTCTAATGTAAAACTACAGCTTTGCAGCCATTATTTCTCCTGAATAATTAGTAATAAATAGAAGTTGTTATATCAGAAGGTTTTTTGGTGCAAACACGCTGGTTGTGACAGTTAAAATGCTACATGCTAGGAATTCACTTTTATACTTTTTGTATTATTAATTGTTGAATTAGCTTACCTGTTTCACAAGAAACAGTACCATGATGGAGCTGGCAGATGTTGGAGGGATCCTGGACCAGAGTCCCATGCTGGAATAGAGAGCAAGAAGTGTCACCATGCCCATTTGAATAAATTTGTCCCCAATATTCTGATATTTCACTCTATAGATCAATTCTATTTAAAAAAAAAATAAAAAAATAATAAAAGTAAAAATTAAAAGTCTTCTTTTATGAATGCCACTGTTCCATGAATCTTCTTTCCAAATAAGTGAGGAAGTCTCCTTAAGTGTTTAGCTTTGCTAGACTCCAGCTACGTTTTGTTTTTTCTGATTAAAGGCAGAGAGAGCTCAGTCTAAACTTCACAGCAACTCTGCTTACTGTAGCTTGTCCATTAGCCAATAAGAAGTTAGAAAACTATTAAAACATTAAAGGGCTGATCCTGTTCCTTGAAGCTCCACAGGAATTTTGCCAGTGATTTTTCCAGAATGCAATCCAGCTCCAGAGAAACACACATGTATAAATATATTTATATACACCTCATGAAACCAGTAAAGGACACCTTAGAACACAGAAAAAGTGTGTAGGAAGCTTGCTGACTCCAGTTGTCTGTCAGAAAGCTGCTCAGTAAAAGTTGGTTTTATGCTTTTTGATCATATTTTGTCAAATGTGCAGGATCAGGGAGAATCTAAATATGAAAGAAAAATTATGTTAGCAGCTGTTAAGTTTTATTACAATTTTTGTGATGTTCAGTGATGTTCAAAGCTTCAGTTGCCAGGTGGATTGTGGCTGTCTTGGTGTCACCTGCAGATATTTGGTTTACACTCCTCTCAACTTTATTCCAGCAAAAATCACACTTTTTTATACACTTTATATATAAGAATATAACACTTTGCTTGAAGTAAAGTCCAGCAAATCAATTTGCTCCTCTCTTATTTTCTTCCTTTCTTCACAGTGTAGACAGAACTAACCAATAAATACTCATGCAATTTATTTCTATTAAATGGAGCATTCTTGCTTGAAAAAATTGATTTGAAAGTTGTGGTACCAGCATTGCTAAGGCTTGAGCAAAAAAACTGTCTGTGAAACATCTCAGATTGCAGCTGTCATCCAGAAGGTATCAGTGGTTTCACAGGCCTTAAAATATCTTTAATTACAGCCATATGCAGATTACTGAAGGAATAGGAACACAGAGAAGTGTTTAATCCCTGGAAGGATTTCCCTCCCTTCCTCCCTCCCGCTCCTGCTCTCACACTTTGCTCCCAGTCCTGTTCTCACAAGTGCTACAGCCCTGGTGAAAGTGCAGTGAGACAAAGATGCAGGGGAAAAAACACCTCATGGCTCCAGCTCCAATTCTGGGCTTTGGTTTGTTGTGAGATTTGCTCTGCCTTTGTAAACCAGACCTGCTCAGTCTTGCACTCTGCTGCTGGCCAGCTCTGTAAGCTGAGCTTTGTATCAGCCCTGAGTTTCACTCTGGGACTCACCTTCTTCTCCAGCTCTGACATCTCTGGGCAGAGAGATGTCCTGAAAATCCAGATTGTTTTCATTAGAAGATCCCTGTGTGACTTCAGTGTCTGTCCTGTGGAACCATTCTCCCCCAGGGCACGTTTTTTACAGTTGTAAAATGAAGCAGAGTTACTGACACCCCAGCTCCTTTTGGTTCTTTGCATCACCAAACAGGCAGAAAAAACAATATATATATAACTTGTCAAGGTGGGGAATGGTTTCTAGATGAAGGAAAAAGAAATGCTATTTCACAGAGTGAGAATATGCACATATAAAATAAGGATAATTCAGCATTTTCTCTAATGCTTCACCTCACTTGGGCAAAACTTGTGTTATGTGTTCATGGTAGAAAATCATCAAAAGCAAAGTCAGGTAATTTATGACTTTTATTTGTCACTGGTGGAACTCTGAACACAGGCAGCCTCCTTTCTAGTGCTGCATGATGTGAAATGCTGTAGCTGACCAACCAGTTTTAGCTCTTTATGAGTTTTTTATAGTAAAAAATCTGTATCCAATTTAAACAGTGCTCAGTGTTACAAAAGCATTTGGAATTGTGAGATTTTGTTTATTGCTTAGCTCAGAAATAGATTCCATCAGTCTGACCCCACCTCCAAGCAAGGTGAATAGGCACGTTTTGTTTGTATAAATAAAACTTCAGTGGTTGCACACTGGGGTACATCCAATGCTTCTGTGTTCTGTGTATGATTCATGGGGCAAATTCTCATTTATTGTCACACTTCCTCACATTTCTTTCACAATACATTGCTGCCAAGCAACACTGTCCTTTATTCTTAATCTCCCCTGCCACATGATTTCTGGTCATGCCCAGATCTCTGCTCTCTGTCTTAAACTCCTAAGCTGGCACAATTTTCTGAGAGGGATGAAGAATGGGGTGGTGAAAGCAGGCAGGTGTTTCACCAGGCAGATGCAGAGATTTGCAAAAGGGAGTTTCTAGAATAATTGCTGGAGCAGTTCTGGAAGATGCCAGCCTCGATCCCAGAGGCAGACAGGCGGCACAGAGCCTCAGCAGCATTTTCTCTGAGTTTCCTCTCTTTAGTCTTCTCTATCACAGCATTCAGCAGCAGTTACTGGTGTGAAGGGACGAGGAAAGTGGCCAAACCTTTCTGCAAGGGGGACAGCAAAGGGGATCTCTGCATCCGCTTCAACAGCGCCGACGGCAACAGCAGCCAGGCTGTGCAGTACATCTGGGAGACAGGAGATGACAAGTTTGTGGAGAAGAAGTTTCATGCTGGGATCTGGTATTCCTGTGAAGAAATGATAAATGAAGAAGGTGAGTAAACCCATGGAAATTTATTGATAAAGTAATCGTTGTTCATCCTGTTTATTTGGTGGTCCTTCCCCTCTGCTTCGCTATTTTATGGTGTTTTTTATGGTGGCTGTAGCCTTTAAAAGTTGCTCTTCTCTGGCAAAGGGGACCTTAGAGGGTACTGTCCAGTCAATTCCTAAAGAATTCCTGATAAATTCTGCAAGGAACATTGGTGTGCCAGGCTGGGGTTTTGATTGAGGTGACAGGCTGTGGTACAGATGAAGATTATTTGGTTTTTGTTCTACTCACCATAACAGCAAGTGAAATGACTTTAACAGGAAAGCATTTCATTTTTCCAGTGATTTTATTCCATTAGTCAAAAAATGAACATTCTTGCTTTAAATGATCATTTCTGATCTCCTATGACAACATAAAAAACTCAAAATGTTTTGTTATTTTAAATTGTTTGCCCTAATATGTATGTGGGATCTAAATGAGTTCCTGGATTTCCTCTTGAGCACAAGTATTTCTGCTTTCTTACTGTGATCTCACCTTGCATAAATCAAAGCAGAAAAGGATTATTTCCATCCTGCTAAAACATGATATGGACACTTGCTAGCCATAAGTGGTGGCATTTAATTGGGTCTCACTCTGAATATGTAAATATTATTAGAATGAAATTAGCTTGCCAATACAGAAAATTTCTAATCAATTTTGGATTTTTGTATAAGGGCATTACTGGTTCAAGAATTCAAGCATTTATTGTAAAAACAGATCAACATTTAAGTTTTTCCCTTTATTGTCCTGATCAGTTTAGAACAGTTCTAGAACAGAACTTCAGAGAAATCAAAGCAGCTGTCACCCATGCTATAAAATGCAAATATTTTCACAGTCCCCTATCCTGAAGGTCCAGTTCTACCAGAAGTTCTTGCAAGTTATTGAGTTTTAAGGAGTAAATGATGAAGATCAGAGCAAATTACATCCAAAAGACACCTTTTATCCAAGCTGTGGGTGCCAGGCTTATGTAATTTGAGCATCTGCTATGGAAGCTCATGTTTGGGAGCTCGTGTTTTCCGACTTGGGGCAGTTAGGAGCTGGAAAAAAACACCCAGAATGTTCAGATCAGAGCAGAATTAATTCCAAGAGCTTTGTTCACAGCATCTGTGTGGGGGTCAGGAGGGCATATGGGTTTGAAAATCAAAGCTTACAGGAAGAAATTGGAATGAAGCTTAGAGGGAATTTGTTGCTGCTGCAAGGAGAGCAGCTCTGTCCTAACAGAGGATTGAATCCAGGCTGCCAGGTTTGCAAGGGAATTTTCCTCTCCTGGATTTCACAGCTACCACCTCATGGAAATCAACTCACAGCCTTTCTCTAAATCTTCCAGGCTCTGTTCCTACCTTGAAATAGTCTGTGAGGACTCTCCAGTTAAACCTCAGGAGAAGGTTGATGGAGCAGGGTCTCTCTGGACATGAAAAACAGCTTCTGCTGATCATCTCACTTTCTGCTCATTTGATAGATTTTCCATTTTCTTCTTTCTATTAATCTATTCCTTTAGATCATTACAGAATACAAATAATCCTGAATTTGATTTAATTTTTTTTTTCAGGTGAGAAATGTCGAAGCTTTATCAGTCTGACTCCAGCTTCTGATCGAGGTAGATGTGCATATTTTTTTAGTAGTCAAAACTTACCTGACCACACTTACCAGTATAAATATTCTGCATTAAATTAATTAATTTCAAAAATTATTGCTTTAATCCCAAATAGTTCTTTTGTCCTTTATTTAGTTTTCCAACTTCTAAATGAGGGTCATATGACTTAAAATATCAATCTATGTCTTTCTGAAGACACTCCACTTGAATATGAGTGGCTTTTGAAATATGAATATGGGTACTGGAAGTGGAAATTTGTCTATTTTTGCCCTCTCTCTCTTCATATCTCCATGTTTACAGCCAGGAATTCTGTGGCAGTGTGTGAACATCCACCCAGGAGGGGACTGAGGGAGATGTGCTGTGCACCAAACCAGCCTTGGTGGAATCTGAATCCCCTCCCTGTGCCTTACTCAGAGCTGTGAGGAGGCATTTCCATTATCTTCTTTCAATAATTCTTAATGAAGAATTCTAATTCTTAATATGGAATATTTCAAATATTCTTGGGAAACATTCCTGCAGATGCTGCCACATGCCTTCCTGATCCCCAGTATGAAAACATCAGTCCATCACTGATCTGATTAGACCAATCACTTCACAAGTGGCTGATGCAGAAAAAGCCCCCAAAACTTCTTCTTTCCAGCATACTGGGACTGGGGTGTTCTCCTGGAAATGCAATTTTAGATCCTTGGAGAAGGAGAAATGCTCAGTCTGTGAAGGCCAGTCTTCCTTCTACCTGCTGCAGCTTGTCATAGTGCCTTAACAGCAGAACAGAATTCTGTAGCATGAGAAGAAAGCTGTAAATGAGATGTGGGTGTAGTCCCAGGGAGATAGGGGTGTTTGTGGGTCCTCCCCTGAGGGTTCCTCACAAGGAGAATTGCTGGTGGACAAAGAGCTGAAACTAACTCTGAACAGCATCAGCAAATGTCCCAGGCACTGGCAGGCCAGCTGGAGACAGCCAAGAAGCATCTAGGTACCTAAAACCCAGAAATCTCTCCCTGGCTAGTGAAATCCTGTGTGGAAATTGCCTCCTGCCCTGCACAGGAGGGGTTTGTGCTCTGCCCCTGTGGATGCTGTGTGATCCAAAGTCAGGGTGCACCAGGCTCAGCCTTCCTGAATTGCTCAGCCCTGGGTCTCACACTGATCCCCGTTGTTCAGAGCATTTCTTAGAATGGCTCTGACCAGAAATGTTCAGATTCTCACAGCTGGAGCAGCCAGAACTCTTGGGCAATGCAACATCTGGACCTCCTAATGAAAATCACAATTTTTTACTGAGACAGATTTTCTGGAGAAACAAACCATGTCCAGGAACACCCACACATAGCCTGGCCCAAGAATTTAATGTCTAAATGGCCCATGAATCAGAGAAGCCCCACAGACACAGTCAAAGCCAGAATTTGGGGTTATACACCTCACAGACATCATCTCCTCCCCTAGGTGGTGTCTGGTAATCAAGGATGTGTCTCAGCAGTGTTTCAATTTTTAAGCTGTGATGTTTTTGTGTATCTCTTTACACGAAATCAATGCTTGAATCCACATCCAGGTGTCTCAGGACACATTTGTTTTTTAAAAGGTTTGGGGAAGATCATTTGCCAGATCTTGCTACAGCAAATTTGGACACAAGAAGGCCTCGTGCTCCTGGCTGTGGGACATTAGCAGGCTAAAGGTCGAACAGCAGGCTGAGACTTTAATGGGAGGATTAACTTCTTGCATAAGATGTAATTACCAGATCTCCAAAAAGAGAGGAATTAGCAGATAACTAGAGAAATGAATCCCAGTGAAACCTGGAGGCTGTCTGGCCTCATGAAGCCTTCTCTGTCCAAAAAAAGTCAAGATCCTGCTTGGCTGGAAGTCGAGCTTGTGGGGAAGATTTTATTGAATGAGCAGACCCACAGGCAGTGCAGGGGTGTGTGGCCTCCAGGTTGGTCACTGGCTCTGCTGCTCCACTGTGCTCCTCTCTTCTATAAAAACAAATTTGGTTCTTTTTGTATTAACTTTATTTATTTTTATGATCACTTTGGTTTTTATTATATTAACTTTGGTTCATGGTGATTTTAGGCAAGCCACTGAGTATAAAACCACACTGTGCCACCTGTAAGATTCTAAACATGTAGCAGGAACATGCTGATCATGCTTTTCCAAATACTATTATTATTACTATTATTATTATTATTATTACTATTATTATTAATAATAATATTAATTATTAACTTATTAATTAACTAATAGTTTATTAATTTAAAATTATTAATTATAAAATAATTAATTATTAATTAAATTAATATTTAATAATAATTTTAAATATTAAATACATTATTATTTATTAATAATAAATATTAATGGAATTAATAGTTATAGTAATAATTAATAATTATTAACAATTATTATTAACTTGATTTTCTATTTCCAATATCAAAGATCTCAAAGCATTCTGTAAATTACAATACTAGATCCAAATGAAACAATGTTAATTAATAAAATGTATCAAGTAGCTTGATTTTTTTTATTTCCAACAGGCTAATAGGCTAATTACTACTACTATTATTATTATTATTATTACTATTACTATTACTAGTATTATTATTATGATATAGATCTAGATCTAGATCTAGATCTAGATCTAAATATAAATATAAATATAAATATAAATATAAATATAAATATAAATATAAATACTAATAATACTAATGCTAATAATAGTAAGAATAAGAATAAGAATAAGAATAAGAATAAGAATAAGAATAAGAATAAGAATAAGAATAAGAATAGCAATAATAATATTTCCAGTAATACAATAATTATAATTTTGGGTGCCCATTGCCACTCAAGTCTTCCATAGATGCTGTCATTATCACAGCATCCTCACATCCTTTTCTGATTGTATGAACAATACAAATGGAGAAGGAAATGGAGGGAATATGAAATGATTGCTGACAGTAGCAGTGCTGTTGATTTGGTTTCCAGGGGTTTTATGGCTGTCTATTGTAGCAGAGCTGCTCTACGTCGTGCTGCTCCTGACTGGGAACATTCTAATGTCAGTGGAAATCTGCTACTACAGCTCTGTCATTGATGGGCTGAAGATCAACGCCTTCTCTGCAGTGGTCACTGTGCTAGCAGGTACAGTCAAGCATTTCCTTTAATTACACCCAGAACATTCTTCCATCTGAAAATTAATAACAGTGCCCAAGCTTCAAAACCTTTACAATACCCACTGAGATGCTAACAGTACAAAGTGAGGCTAAATTTTATGGGAAAAATATGATTTTTAATTAATTACTTCTTCATGTGGTCTGTTTTGAATTTTGTATTTGTGGCTTTTGCTGTCTTTAACTTAATAGTTTTAATTTGATCATTTTTCATTTAATTGTCAGGTTGGTTGCCGAAGTAGTCTTCCAAGTAACTTGATTTTTTATTTCAGATATCAAAGATCTCAAAGCATTCTTTAAATTATAATACTAGATCCAAATGAAACAGTGTTAATGAATAAAATGTATCAAGTAACTTGATTTTTTATTTCCAACATGCTAAATATAAAATCAGTGCTAGTCAAACTGAAATAGCACTTTTAAGAGGGAGGAGAATGTACTTGGGTAATTGCTAATAGAGAACTGTCATTAAAATTTTCTTCCATTTTCTGCACATTGCTTCATAATCCAGTGCTATTTAATCTTAGGATTTTAGGCAAATTCAATTTGGGAGAACTTTCCCTAGTCCAGTCTGAGGAATCAGCTCTGAATTATCTGTTTTATAATCTGCTGAGCAGGAGGAGGTTGGACCAGAGATTTCTTAAGGCACCTGAAAGATTCAATCTGTATTTCAGAATTTTTACTGAGGGATGTTGCAGTAAAGCAATTACAGTTAATTTATTTACTAGAATTTCGTGTGGAGCACATGCCACTCTGCTTCATATGTTCTGGAGTGTTCAGAGTGATTTATACTTGGTGATAGCATATCTTTTATGACATTTAACTGCAAGTCAGACAGATGGCAAAAAATTCATCTCAAGGTTGCATTTCTCTGCCAAAATTTTTGGCTTTTATCCTGATCCTAATGTTTCTGGATTCACCTGATCATGATAATGGGGAAAAAAATAGAGCAGATAATTCCTTGCTCTTTGCATTTAATTTTTACATGTGAAGATGGCTCTTTCAGTTCCCTGAGTGCAGTCCCCAGCCTTTCCTGACTGTAATTGGATTATCTCCTTTCTTCTTAAAGATTTCCCTGAAAGATGTCCAAGCAGTTAAAAATCTCTATTACCAGTTCCATTTATTGCTCAAGAAAGGCCCGATTTCTCCTGTGTCTGACCAAACCTCACGATCCACAGACATGGCTGTTTTCAGAGAAAGAGATGTGAGCTTTATTGAACTCCTTAGGCAGTTTTCCACCTACAATAATCCAAATAATCACAAATAATCACTTTTTTTTAATATTATTTCTTTGTTTTGGTCCTGTAAAATATGAAGCAGACCTAGAGAGGAAGCAGCAAGTTTATCCTGGATATTCTGTTTACCTCTATGAATAAAATTTCTTGAAATACTAAAAAAGGGAAGAACATTTGTCCTAGCTGTTAAATTTATGTATGAATCATTTTGTAGGTATAAACCAAATTTAGTTGCCTTTATCTGGAATGAAGATGCAATTTCTTGTACAACATACACTTGATTCTAGCTGAGCAATGCAAATTAAATTATTCAGCATCAGCCTCTTCCATAACCCAGATTTTCAGTACTTTCTGGTGTTTGTCCACTTTTTCATTCACCTCATACCTGATAAATCTGGCTGCATTTACAGCACTGGGAGAGGGCAGAAACCTGCATGGCTTTCAAAATCTTTCCACTCAGTGACAGGAAACTGGGAAATGTGTCCTGTGCAATGCAGCTGAGCAATATTTTCCTGTAATAACTCAGGAATTACACTACCAGGAAGTTTTCAGAGGATGAGAACCAAGTGTACAAATATACAACATTTCAAATGCACTTAAATGGTAATGTCCAGTATTTTTGAGCTCTCTGTAGAATTCAGATACTTCATAAAATATTCTTCAAGAGTTCAAGGGACAGCTACAAAGAAGAATGTCCTCAATTTACATTTTCTAATGTTTTTATAATATTGTGTTTTTTAGGTCTTCTGGGCATGGTTGCTCACATGATGTACACAACTGTATTTCAGATGACTGTAAATCTTGGTCCTGAAGACTGGAGACCTCACACTTGGGATTATGGCTGGTCCTATGGGTATTAACTGGTTTATATTTGGTTCTTCCATTACATCTGAGTCACTTTCACCCTATGTTCAAGGAATTTATAAGAAATTTATATATACCTAATTTAAGAATTATATATATAATTCTTATATTATATAAATAATATAAATTACATATATAAAATATAAATTATATATATATATCTAATATAAGAATTTTTATATATAAGAATTTATACATACCTAATTTATAAGCAATGCCTTTACCTTATTTCACTTCTGAGGATGCAGTTCAGTAACCAAGTGTTGCTCTTGTAAATCTTAAATTATGTGTCATAAATTAAATTATGTCTTACATTATTGCCCAGAATGTGAAGTTTGCAAGGTTTGTATTTGCCATTCCTCAGACAGGACAGAGACAATGCTCTGCACTGAGCAGAGCTTCTCCCTACACACCAAACCCAGGTTTAGCATTCTCATCTCCCAGGACAATTATCTTGACTAAGTTGTTTAAAACTCTTCCAGCTTCAGTCAGTTGGTATTTTCCTGTCACATTTGTGCTTCAGATTGCTGGATCTGGAACGTTTCAGAGTCCCAGAATTAACCTGGTTGGAAAAGACCTTTGAGATCACCGTGAGCTGTGACCCAACACCTCCTCATCAGCCAAAGCCGGCACTCAGTGCCACATCCAGGCTTTCCTTAAACACCTCCAGGGATGGTCACTCCCCCGCCTCCCTGGGCAGCCCATTCCAGTGCCCAAACACCCTTTCTGTGGAGAGATTCCCGATCTCCAGCCTGGAGCTCCCCTGGCCCAGTTTAAGGCTGTGTCCTGTCCCTGCTCCCTGGGAGAAGAGCCCAAACCCCCCTGGCTGTCCCCTCCTGCCAGGGAGTTGTAGGGAGTGATGAGGTCTCCCCTGAGCCTCCTCTTGTCCAGGATAAACTCCCCCAGCTCCCTCAGCCGCTGCTCACAGGATTTGTGCTCCAGACCCTCCCCAGCCTTGTTGTCCCTGCAGCATCTCCAGCCCCTCCTGAACCGGGGGAGCAGAGCTGGGCACGGCACTCGAGGTGCGGCCTCACCAGTGCCCAGCACAGGGCAGGAAGGTTCAGACCTTGGAAAATAGCTTTAGGTAGCATCCACATCGTTCTGCACATTCACTAGGAGATCTAGTGAATTTATTCAGAAAGAGTAATTAAAAATAAAGCAAGCCATACACACAGGGCCCTCACACCTTCCAGAGGTCTCCCTTGGTTTCATTATTTTTGTCCCCTTCCATGCAATGCTGTCTCTCTTCTCATATCCCACACCTGCCCCTCCCTTCCTGCTGTAGAGCCCTCATCTGCAGCCTCCCTCAGCTGCTCTCCCATGGAAACCTCCTCTGCTGGGAAGAGAGGAAGGGATGCTGATGCCATTTGTCTTTGACAAGAGTTTTCCCACAGCTGTCCCCACCTGAGGCTCACTCAGGGTGTGGTTTGAATGATGTGAGGAGCAAAGACTGCTCAAGCTTCTCCCCTTCTTGCTTCTGGGAGCCTTTCACATCTCCATGTCCACCATCCTCAAATTCTGTCAACACATCTGATTTCTGATCACCCTAGAGATCAATCCTGGCCAAAAATACTGGGAAAGGAACAGGAGAAAGGTGGGTGGGGAAGGATTTACTTAAAAATATAAATTACATATAAAATTATATTAAAAATAAATGACAGATATAAAACACATCATCAAGAATGTGTTTACAAACAGCTCTGAAGGAGAGGTGAGATAAACAGGAACCTCTTAAACTGATTTCTCCACCAAGGCACATTTCATTTGGTAATTGTAACCTTGGCATGTTTAGAAAGCTACTGAAGAGCAAGTTCCTGCACTGTGAACTCCAATTCCTGCTCATGTGGCCATATTTTTACATGCTGCTTTTAATTTCACACATTTTGAACTAATTGTATTTCAATATAATTTTTTAAGTTCTGTCTCCTTGGGGATTTGCTTTTAACATTTCAGAGTTGATGTCCTTTCCTTTCTCACACTCATTTTCTTAAGAATACATTTCAATGCTCTGAACCTGCTTTACCCAGCTATTTAATAGAGCCTTCTCTGTTCTTTTTAACACTTTTGGGTAACTCACATTTTTCTCAGTGTCCCCTGTAGATTTATGCTCTTAATATCTGCACCTTATAACTTTTTATGCATTCCTCATTCTTTTTTAAAAACCCTTTCTGATATTGAGCTCTGAATTTAATAGAGAATTAAAGCTCAAATAGAGCTTATAGAGAGAAATTGGAGGTGAGGTTTCATTAAACAAGAATGTTAAAATAGATATTACAACAAATATGTAGAGGCCAACTCAGTAAATGGTCATTAATCAAGAGAATTTCTTCCTCACCTAGCCTGTTAATCTTTCCCTAATACACACCAACACAACCACACACATAAGCAGTGTTTTCAAAAATAAAATCAAGTATGAAAATGTCCAGCTAATTTCTGATAATTTTGTGTTTTTTGTTTATAGCCTTGCATGGACTTCCTTCGCTTGCTGTATGGCTGCAGCTGTCACCACTATTAATAAATATACAAAAACCATTTTGGAATTCAAACACAAAAGAAAAAAGCTGGAAAGGAGCTTTAGGATTCAGTACAAGTTTCCTGACCACACAGCTCCAGAGAAAGTTTGCAATGTGTATGTGAACTCTTTCCAAAACCCCACAGATGACCCCGCACACGCGTTACGAAGCCTGCGGCACCTGGCCACTATTTCAGTCCTGTAAAGCTGAACCAGATCTCAAAGCATCCTGTAAATTACAATACTAGATCCAAATGAAACAGTGTTAATGAAGAAAATGTATCAATGTGTAGTATTATTTATTTTTCTTAATAAAAAATATTTATTTCAGTGGTTGTTTCAATGAAGTCTTGGTGTTGGAAACGAAGATTGAGGTGTCTCAGTTCAGTTAACAACAGTGACACAATTCCCCAAAGCTGTAGTTTTTAAGCAGTGTCTAATGGTCATAGAGAGTGAGTTTGTTAGAATTTTAGAACATCACCCTGATTCTTTATTAAAAAGACTGTAAAAAATCCCATCCTGAAACCAAAACCCACGAAAAGCAGGGCAGTAAATTGTGGATGCTAAATCTGAACCAGAGTGCCTGTAGTTATTACAGGCCACATAGCTCTCAGGCCTGACTGAAAGCTAGCCTGGGAAATTCATGAGAAGGAATTAAAACAATTCTCAGAGATACTAAACAGCCTTGCAGGTGTTGTTTTGCAGCTTCTTGTTTCTCCTTGCAGGAGACAGTCAAGGGGGGCAGAGTGCCCCTAACCAATGATGGTGATGTAGCACTTTGTTAACCAATAAGAGTTTCCTTTCTGTACTTTCCACGTATCTGTCTATAAGACAGAGGTGAAGCAATAAACTAGGAATTCTCCTGTTGTGACTCCTTTGAGAGTCCATTGTCGTTCTTTAAAGCCGTTCCCAATCGGAACGACAGTAAATCAGGCAGGTGGTGCATGGCTTGAATAATTTTTTGTTATGAAAGGCACAATCTCTCCAAGAAAATCTGTGGACTTCAGTTTATGGTTTGAGAGTACACATGGTGGATTTGCTGGGAAAGGAAGGCTGATAGAGGGAACAGACTTCCATTGTAAACACTTACCTAAAATGAGAATGAAAACTGAAATCTGGAAGATTCGTGAGAAAGCAAACTGAAATCTGAAAAATACATGGTTGTGGACAGACACAACTCACCTACAGAATTCTCCAGGAATCATTCTGGCAACAGAGTCAGAAAGAATCAAATTTTGATTTATACATTTACACATGAAGAATCTATAATCACATTAAAGATGTGGAGGTGGAAATGATTGCAATCATCAGAGATGAGGAACATGGAGCTTCCTGATGGAACAGAGCCATGTGCCAGCTTTTCTTCAGTGTAGGTGAATCCTCCTGTTACTGAGCCCCTTGGGAAACTCTTGTGAGCTCTGGGTGGCAGAGGTTTTGCACACCCTCCTGAGCAGCTCTGGGCTTTGGGAAAACCCTTCTGTCTCTTTATTCAGGCAATAAATAGAGTTTGAGCTTGTTATGGCAGCAGGATGTGTAACAGGTCAGGTAAAGGCCAGTGATAAGGTGGAGCTGATAACAGAGAAGCATCATTAAGTCAGAAGAAAACCATTAGTGGTAAGAGAGGAGAGGTTTTGAGTGTGTTTAATATATTCAAGAAATGAGATTTCTTGACCTTGTTGACAGCAGGTCCCAAAGCTGCACTGCTGCAATCGTAGAAAAATGATTTCCTAATATCAAATCAAAATGTCATGTGTTCCAGTTCATGTCCATTACCTTTTTTCCTTCTACTGTGCATATTTGAGAAGGATCTGGCTCCACATTCCCCACACCATCCTACTAGGTGGCTGCAATAGCAATAAGATTTCCTCTTTAATCTTTAGAAAAGTCTTTCTTTATCCTTTACAGTGCTCTGAAACTGCCACCTTCAGTTCAGCAGGGGAACAAAGCAGTCATTAGAAAGTTTGGTGCCCACTCTGTTAGGAGCAGTCTCAATCCCTTGACCAAAACACAAGATCCTGATTCCTTCCCCTTGTTTCACACATTTCTTTGTCATGGATATGTTTCCAACACCTTCACTGATAGAGGAATTATTCCTGATTCCATCTGACTTTCTGCTTTTTGTCAGCCCTAACTCTTTCTGCAATAGATTTTTTCCCATCTCATGTTATTGCTGGGTGTCATGGAGGAATTTACACCTCATGCAGTAACATACTTGTTTGATGCCTACAAATCCATTGAAAAATCCAATTTAAATAACAGCCTCATTTTTTATTTATTCTTTTACTTAGCCTGCAGGTAACTAACACAGCCTGACAGTCTCTGCCATATGCTGTTTCCTCAGGATTGTTTCTTACACTGGTTTGTGTGCATATAAAGTGCTGTAGGTGGGTAAGAGCCTTTCAGATAATTGTGCAGCAAGAATTTGCCCAGATCCATTCTTAAATCTCAAGCTGTCTGCTTTTTTTCATGCCAACCATTCAAGAAGCTGTATGTCTTCTGCTGGATATCTGGTAAATAAATTCACCTGATGAAATGCAAGATTTTTTATCCCTATTTGTAAGCCACTAATTCATATTTCATATACTTTATTTTAACTTTGATACCTGGTAACCACATTATTTGAAAGCAGAGGAATAACAGCAGCATTTTTACTCTGATTCATTAGATCAAATCAATTTTGATGAATGTGGCATCTCAGTAAATTTCAGACACCTGTGGCACAGATCTAAAGTAGTCCTGGTTACCACTGGAAGACAATGAGAGAAATAGGAAACCTCTGGGGTGAAACTCCTGTTATCCTCAACTCATCTGAATATTTCTTTTTCTTATGATAATATTTTTTATGTGCAACACATATCCACAGGTAAGACAGTGAAACAGAGATCTACAAATTAAATAGAAAACTTCAGATTAAATAATATTTTTTTCCCCAGAGGGAAAAAAAAATTATTAAATCTGAAATGCCAGTGGAGGAACCTCATCTTCAAGATGAGAAAAAGCCACTGAATTAGAGAAAAGTGTGACCCATTTAAAAGGTCATCTAATCCTTCTTTTCTTCTAGGCAGGATAAACTAAAGCTACATTGCTTTTTTACAGATGTTCCATTAATCTCTTCTTTAAAGCTTCCAAAGACAGGCATTTGAAAATTTCTGTGGCAATTTGTCCTTTGTGCTTAACTATTCTTAGCAGAAAATGCTGTCCCTGTAAATCTCCTTTGCAGTAATTTTAGCACATTGTCCTGCTCCAGCAGAAATGGAGAACAGTTCAGTCCTACCTTCTCTGCAGTACATTTTAGGAATTTGAAAATCATTAAGATACAACATTCTTCTACTTTCTAGATAAAAATACATCTGTTTTTTAAAACTTTCTTTATAGGATACAGGTGTTATTTTCTTTCACTGCCTTCTACTGTGGCTCCTTGAACTGCTCACTGTTTTGAAGGGAAATTGTGTGAAGAATTTCTGCTGATCTCTAGAACATGTAAAATGGAGCAGAAGGATGATTTATTAAAATGTAATCCACTTGTTTTTTACACCAAAGAATAACAGAAATCACAGAAATCACGGAGTGCTTTGGGTTGGAAGGGACCTTATAAAGCACCTCTATCATTCCAAGCCCCTGCCATGGCAGGAACCCCTTCCACTGTCCCAGGCTGCTCCAAGCCCATCCAGCCTGGCCATGAACACTTCCAGGGGTGGGGCAGCCACAGACAATGTTGATTCATGTTTAGCTGGGATGTCCTGTGGTGTCTGATCCTTTACTGATGAAATTCTGCTTATTCTGCACCTTGCTCTTATGGAAATGTAGAGGACTTGGCTGTTGCTGAGGTAAAGGCACAAATTTAACTGAGATCACAGCAAGTGCCCCTTGGTTTGAAACAGGAGAGTTCTTCTGAGGACCAAGAAAATCTTGAACAAGTGATGGTTTGACTTCCCAGTTAAGGCACAGTCACTCACTCTACAACAAAACCAGAGCTACAGCAGCAAATAGCTTCAGGAGGTGCTGCAGGGACTGACCCCTCATCCCAGAGGTGAATCACCTCCCTGAGTCAGGTTCCTTGAAGCCAGAGCAATTCAATCAGAGACACAGCAGAAGGTTCATGTCCCTGCAAGATGACATATGTTCCTTTGCCCTCAGAATTCCTTTCATGTTTGGTGATTCTACCAATGAATGAGGCATGTAAGTGAGCTGGTGCTGGAAGTTATATGAGCAGAGGAACTTGCAGCAGCAAGAGCAGTTTGGTTCCAATGGCACCTTGTCACACTCCCTAAAACCAGAGGAGCAGAAGCTTTACAGATATTCCCCTGTATGTGTGTGTGATAGTGGCATTGTTCCACCCACAGCAAGCAGCACAAGTCACCAACATTCAAAACAGAAACCTTTTTTTTTTTTTTTTTTCAGCTCAAAAGCAAGGAAAATAACTGAACAAAATCAATTTTCCTCTTCTGTCTTCAGCTTTTCCCTAATCCCTGAGGCAACAATGGCAAAAAACAGCTCGGGGAAGAATGTCCGAATGTAAACTGCTGCTCTGGGGATGGGGTTGGCCATGAGCACCTCCTGCTTCCTCCTGCTCACTGTGGCAAGGACTTCCTCTGCCACCTCCACGGGGTGCACACCGTAGGACACCTTCCTGAAAAAGACTGTAAAGGAGAGAGGAGTGAGAGCTACAGACAGACAGACAGAAAGACAGACAGGGAGACACTCAGGGAATGGTGTTAAAAAGATACACAACTAGTGAATCACTTTCAATCCCTTCCCCACTCCATTCTCCCCATCAGTATGTGGCCAAGATAGTTTTATAACTGAGGTAAAATCCTTAAAGTCCTTAAGAGAAGGAGCAATCCTTTGGACCTTTCATGCTCTCCTCCCTCTCCACTCCTGATGCCCCAGTGTATTTTATTTCCTTACATAACCTTGTCTCATTCCACGTTCCTCCTCATTTCACCAGGCTAATATTACCTCCCTAATATCTCTTTTCTTTTGCTCCTTTCTGTCATTTCCATTATTTTTCCTTTTCTTTTTCACCCTGGAAAAGCCTCCCTCCTTCTTTATGTGCCTCATCTTGGTCTACCCAAACGTACATTTCCAAATGGATGCTTCCCAGTTGCCTGGTGCTGGTGGGCGATGGTAGGAACAGATGAAGGTTGGACTCACAGTGCTGACAGAAATATCAAATTCTTCCATTTCAGCTCTAAGACAATCAAAAAAGCCTACAGCAGCATGCTTGGAAGCAGAATCTAAAAGTAAAA